CAGGGGCTGGGGCGGGGAGGAAGGAGGCAAGGCTGGCACACAGCAGAGCAGCCTCCACTTGGCACCCAGGGTGACAGCTGGGGCTGCAGGGGTCACCTTCAACCCCAATGCTCCAAAGACAGTGAAGGGGGAAACAGGAGGAAGAACAGAAATTCACATCAGGCTTCTGTGCAGGGCTCAGGATCCCCCAAGTGATATGGGTTTTTCACCTTTTTTTTTTTTTTTTTTTTTCCAAAAGAAAAAAAATTGTAGATGTCATTTGTGGAGGAATCTTACTCTAGCCTTGGCTGGCCTCCAACTGTGATCCTCCTGCCTCCGCCTCCTGAGTGCTAGAGTTACAGGTGTGAACACCTATGCCAGCTTCAATATATGTGTGTCTGTATGTATGTATATGTGTGTTTGTATATATGTGTATATGTATGTATGTGTGTATGTATGTATATGTATTTGTTTGTGTGTATGTGACTGTATATACGTATTGGGTTGTTTGGGTTTTTTGTTTGTTTTTGCTTTTGTTTTTTGTTTGTTTTTCAAGACAGGGTTTCTCTATGTAGCCTTGGCTGTCCTGGAACTCACTCTGTAGACCAGGCTGGCCTCGAACTCATGATATCTGCCTGCCTCTGCCTCCTGAGTGCTGGGATTAAAGGTGTGCACCACCACTGCCCGGCTGTACTGAGTTTTTTGAAAGAGAGTTTCACTTCATAGCCCTGGCTGTCCTGGAACTCAATGTGTAGCCCAGGCTGTCCTCGACTCCAGGCACTCCTCCTGCCTCTGCCTCCCGGCTGCTGTGATTACAGGCACATAGGGTACCATCATGCCTGACCACCACACCAGGCTCACTTTGCTTTGTTGTGCTAAAAACACATGACATGAAATCTGCCACATGTTGTGTGCATATGTAAGTCTATGGTGTCAGATACCCTCATAATGCTGGACAGCATCCCAGCATTTTAGTACCACTTTACTTCTGGGTTGGTTTTTGTTTGTTTGTTTGTTTGTTTTTTGTTGTTGTTGTTTTGTTTTGTTTTTCGAGACAGGGTTTTTCTGTATAGCTTTGCCCCTTTCCTGAAACTCACTTGGTAGCCCAGGCTGGCCTCGAACTCACAGAGATCTGCCTGCCTCTGCCTCCCGAGTGCTGGGATTAAAGGCATGAGCCACCACCGCCCGGCTTACTTCTGTAAAGCTGGCACTCTGTCTCCTTTCAACAGTACCTCCATCCCTTCTGCCCAGCTACCACCCTTCTGCATCCTCCCCATGGTATTCTGACTACCCAGAGCCTCTCAGATTTGTCTAGTAGCTAGTGTCTTTCAGTTATAGTGGTGTTCTCCAGGTTTGTGCAGATAGTAACACATCAGAATTTCTTCTCTTTTAAGGCTGAGTAGTATTTCAATGCATATGCTACAGTTTTCTTTCTTTTTCTCTCCCTCCTTCTCTCTGTTCCTTAGACAGGAACCTGGAGGCAGGATCTTCAGCAGAGGATATGGAGGAATGCTGATACTGGATGGCTCTTCATGGCTTGTTCCACTTGCTTTCTTATATAGCTCAGAACTACCTGCTCAGGGATGGCACCACCCACAGTGGTCTGGCCACCCCCACTCCATCCTAAATGAAAAAAATTCCTAGCAGACTTGCCTACAGGCCAGTCTTATGAAGGCAATTTCTCAACTGAGGTTCCCTCTGCCTAGATGATCCAGTTTATGTCAAGTGGACAGAAACTACCCAGCATGCCTTGCTTAGGTGGTCAATTGTGATTCCTCTTTGGAGACCATAAAAGTCCTTTTCCTGCTTTCAGATGGAGTGGTTTGGGCTTTTGACATTGACTTTCCCCATAGCGTTTCAGCTCTCTGCACACCCTAGTTGCTTTTGAGTGGACGATTCAGTGCTGTGGCAGGAGGCTTCCAGGTACTGGGGTACAGTCCCCCACCTCCCAGCCTCAGCCTGGTACCTGCAGAGCTGGCCATGGTCAGGTCGTAATAGGCTAACAACCTGGGATTCAGGTGAGGCTGGGAGTCTCCAAGGGGCTCCTCTGTGGGGTCTTTCCTCAATGTGTCTTTCCTGTCTGGTTCCACATGGACAGACAGACATCCATGCCTATCTGCTGAACAGTAGCCCCTCTGAACACCTTTCCAGACTTATTGGCACCCACTGTCTCAAGTCCCTGTCCTGGGCTTCAGGGACAGGGAGGCAGAAGTCTTGGTCCTGAGTGTCACCTCTCCACCTTCACCTTGTTGCAGGTGTGCCTGTAGGGCCTGCTCCTCCACATCTCCTTCTTCCCAGACATTCTTCTTCGCTACACAGACCCCTCTCCCAGGTTCCCTCCATTTGCCCTCAACCTCTTTTCTATTACTTGGGTACTAAGGTTTTAGCTATTTGACAAGCAACAGGAAGATGAGGGTTTTGTTTTTTTGTTTTTTTACATTTTATTTGTTTGTGTGTATGTATGAGACACTCATGCCATAATGCATGTATGGAAGTCAGAAGAAAGCCCACGGGAGTCAACTCTTTACTTCCATCATGTGGGTTCTGAGGACTGAATTCAGGTTGTCAGACTTGGCAGCAAACAGCTTTATCCAGTGAGCCATCTCAATGGCCCTGAAAACAGGGTCCTGAAATGCAGAACAAGGTGGTTGTTGGTGCTTTTGTGTCCTGGAGACTTTAGTTACTGACAGTAGTTCTTCTTCCAGCTTGGACCACTAATCATTCTTACAAAAGACCAGTTTGTTCTCAGGATAAGTACCAATACCAAGTGTGGAAACACGGAGATTCCCAGGGGACAGAGTCCTGCCCAAGGTTGAGCAGACGCTGGGCTGATGACCTCTGAGGGTCTTATCTGCAGTGCTTGGCATCTGTTTGTCATGCTCTGGGTTGCAAGGCCGAAATTTCCAACTCAAAGCAGCTCCAAGAATAGGAAGGGCATCATTTATGAGCTTGCTGAGGTGGCCACAGGGTGGGTGGCCTTGGTGGCCAAGTTATAGTAACGTCAGAGACACAGGTTCTGTGGCCTTACACCCTCAGTGCGTGGTGTAGCCTTTGTCCTAACTCTGACTCACCTTGCAGTCACAAGACAGGACCATGTGCTTTCTGCCTGGCGGGGATGCATTCTGTCTGGTGGAGAACACGCCTACCATGGCATCTGGACTGGCTTCCCTAGGACAGGTGCCCTCCATCCCTAGAATAGGAAAAGTCACCAAGATAATTCCATGGGTAGGAGTATCAGAGCAAGCAACCACACCCCAAGGGTGAGGATGGCCCTAGACAACGGGGTAATATGTGTGGAGATGTGGATGGAGGGGAGTCAGGATGGGCGCCAGTCTTTTGGCTCCAGGGTAGGCAGGAAAGTGGCTCTGTAAAGGGCCCCATGGAGGACTTCATTCATTCCTGGAGCTGGTGATGAGTCCCCCACCAAAACCACAAGCTCAGCCAGCCATGAATCAAACTGAACTCAGACCTTCTATGTAACAATTGAGCTGGAATGAAATCCAATTAAACATGGACACACTCCCCAGGCCACCCAAATAGCCTCACTTCTGGTCCCAGTACGTGGCAGACAGGGTGGCTCTGAGTCAAGGGTGGCTGAGAGTCTCTGGGAGCTCAGTCTTCAGGGCTGAGGAGCAAGGTAGAACATCTGAGCTGGATCGGGGTGGTGCAATTGCCATTTTATCAATAGCAGTGGCCAAATGACAGCTGATACCAACAGGTAAATGGTATTGAAAGCTGGTCTAAGTCGCTAGTGCAATGGTTCTCAACCTGTGGGTCGCAACCCCTTTGGGGGGGCTGTCAAATGACCCTTTCAGAGGGGTTGCCTACGGTTATCGGAAAACGTGGATATATTACAATCCACCACAGTAACAAAATTAAAGTTATGAAGTGGAAACAAAAATAACTTCATGGTTGGGGTCACCACAGCCCGAGGAATTGTATTAGAAGGGGGCAGCGTTAGGACGGTTGAGAACCACTGATCTAGTGGATCCATGTGGCGCTGTGTTTCTGAGGGTCAGTTTCCTCACTGTGAAGTAGTAAAACAGATGGAACCCACACTTGGGTGAGATGTAAGAGGTGGCTCCCTACTGCTCGGTGTCCGGGACATGGTCCTTCTGCCTTCTCCACACCTCCCTCCTCCGAGGTCAAGGTCAAGCCTGGCTCCAGCTTTCTCATTGCCTGTGGAGCACATGCCTCTGCCCTGCCCTTGACCTGCAGTCTGCTGCAGTGATGATTCCTCCCCAGTCAGATGGGCTCATTCTTTACTTCTGCTGTTTGGGAATCTCCCCAAAGGACAGTGTCCCCTACAGAGAGGCAAAATGGCCTGCCCAGCTCTGATTCTAGAATCAAGAGTTGCTACACTCATGAGTCTGACACCCTAAGGCAGGGGACAGATCACAGTCGGGCCACCAACAGCTAAAATGTAACAGGGGAGAGGCCAGAGCTAAAGACCGGATGCGGGGGTGTAGTTTAGATGGGCGATGGGTGGGTCGGAGATGACCTATTGGGCCTTAGAAGAGGGATGGACAGATTTGGGCAGTGTGAGAGCCCAGTGGGTGAGGTGAGGCAGGCTCTTACAGGTTACCACAGGGAGTCTGGGTTTTGTAGGTGTGATGGGGACCAATCACTGGCACATCTCAGACAGGGGAAGGGGATGAAGAGATGCAGGAGAGAGAGAGAGAGAGAGAGAGAGAGAGAGAGAGAGAGAGAGAGAGAGAGAACAAAGGAGGGTGTATTAAAGAAGCATGATGGCAGCCAGGGATGGATGGGTGAAGGATGGGGGGGAGGGTGAAGGATGGAGTATGACACCCCCTGCCACACACACACACACACACACACACACACACACACACACACACACACACACGTGTACTCTCAAGTTGGTTGGAAGTGACATTTTCTCTTTCCAAGCTATGCTCCTACAAGAAGTCAGGCCCCCCACTTCTCCTCCTTGGGGTTGAGATGGTCCCTACCACACCCTTCTGTTCACACCAACTAATCAGTTCTATTCACATTTGTAGTTCAACGTTAAAAAGTCAACGGAGCCTGTCCAGCCTCGACCTCTTCTTAAGTTCCCAGACATCTATGGTCCCCGGCCAGCTGTGACAGCCCCAGAAGTCATCAACTACGCAGACTACACTCTGGGGACCACAGAGGAGTCTGTCGCACCTGCCAGCCCCCAGGCCCAGAGTGACAGTCGCCTCAAGAGGCAGGTCACAGAGGAGCTGTTCATCCTTCCTCAGAATGGTAGGGTTCCCTGCCCCTGGAGGGTAGCACAGGGGATCGGGAGGGGCTTGCCAGTGTCTTCTGATACCCTGGTGTGGTGCGGTAGGTGGGCCCTGTTGTTTGGCACCCAGCTTTTCTGTGAGAACTGAGGAGTCTCCTTCAGATCTTACTGTGTGGTTACATAAGGGATTTTTAAAAAAGGTTAGAAACAAGCTTACTTTGTGGCATTGGACATGCTAAGTTCCTCTGGGACATCCTCATCGATGAAGTGGGATCATATTATTCCTATGAAGGCCACTGTCAAATGTATATAAATGACTCAAATGAAATGCTGGAAGCAGGACTTGGCACAAAGCATCAAAACACATGGCTACTGATACTATGCCTATTCTTTCTGTGAGCATCAGCCTTTAGAAGGCAGCACCCATGGGTGGCCAGCATGGTGCATCCAGGGGGATCGCAGGGGAGCTGAGACACAGGCCTTAATCCACAGGAATAGAGAAGATTCTAAGGGATATGGTCCTAAGACTAAGAAGGCATCCAGTCCTGTGGTCCAGGCTTGCTGCATGTGGCAATTCAGGAAGCGGCAGCTTTGGCAATGACCTGGGTTCATGTGGATTCCTGTGGGCCAGTGGGTGGTGGCCTCCCGCAGGGGCCAGCGGTGTACATTAGCCTGGCTTTTAGGAACCACTTCAAGCTGCGCTGCAAATGGGCGATCCTCTGGGCTGTCAGTATCCAGGCTCTCCTGCCCACATTTTAAGTAGATTCAAAACTGAAGCCTTGAGAGTGGAAAGGCAGGCAAGATTGATGGGGATGAGTACTCGTGGGGGTGGTTCCCGCAGTCGGAGCCTCTCTCAGGAGCCCCTGCTTGCTCCATGCTTGGATGGAACCAGGGCGGAGCTCTTCACTCAGGGAAGCAGTGCCTGGCTGCAAATAATTCAGCACACATGGGCTCCTTCCTTCCTTTTCCTTCCCATCCCATAGGCAGCAGCCTGGTTCTGATCCACAGACAGCTAGCAAGCAGCATTGGCCGCTTCGGCCAACATCCCCATGATGCACTGAGTATGGTTGACTCCCCCAGCTCTGCCGCTCCCCTCACCATAGTACTCAGCACCCCATGTCTGAGGAAGAGTCCTTCCCTGCCACTCACATGGCACCGTCCCTTGGTCACTCAGGAAAGACGGCTGCAGAGTGAGCTTGCAGATGCTGCCCCTGAACAGAAGATGTTCAGGGATAGGAGATGTCAGATGAGTGGGCTTTGGGTCTGGGTTCTCTAGGTACTCTAGGTACCGAGAACTCTAGGTACCACTAAGTCCCTTCTCACCCAGTCTGCTGCGGTGTCCTCAGGATGGCTTTGGGAGCCAAGTGCATCCTGCACACACGGGCATCTTGGTCAATCTGTTCCCTAGAGGACGCTTTGCAGCAGGAATCTAATAATGAGCCCCTGGGGACATTAATGGCCCTCTGGAGTCCTGCCCTCTGATTCATGCCGGGGATCCGTGGTTCAGTTCTGGTTGCCTACAGTGTCATCTGCGGCAGCCACTGTGGCCTCTTAATTCTCCTTTTAGGCTTGACCAGTGAGACTCTTTCATCCATTAGGCTCCAGCTCAAGGGCGGGGCCAGCAGTCCTGACAGGTTTATGGCAGCTTTAGGACCTTCTTGATTAAGGATAAGGTCCTACGTCACTCAGCAAATGTTGCGAGCACATAAGTTAAAGTCAAAGCCACCATCCTCGCCAGTGGCGTCTACCTTGGAGTTGTTCTTTGCTGCTGTCTCCACCTGTTTATTCCTGTGAGATTTGCCCACAATTCCATTTTCCACCAGAACCACCAAACAGGCTGTGACAGCTGTCCTTGTGGAAAGCCCACTACAGTCCAAACCCAGCTTAGAGCATCCCCTAAAGGACACCCAGCTACTATATGGCAGTGTAACTATGGCACCAAAGCCCACAGATTGACCACTGGACTCCAACGATCCCTTGAGGGGCAATGCCTACAGCCTTGTCTGAGGACAGTTTCAGGCTTAGGTCCGTGACTTAGATGGCAGAGATGACGTGATATGATCAGGGAAGCGGAACCCCAACATGATGACTGTGGTCACTCTGTCTGTCTCCCAGGTGTGGTGGAGGATGTCTGTGTCATGGAGACCTGGAACCCGGAGAAGGCTGCTAGCTGGAACCAGGCACCCAAACTCCACTTTCGCCTGGACTACGATCAGAAGAAGGCCGAGTTATTTGTGACTAGCCTGGAAGGTACGGCTTTGTGTGACTGGCAGGGACTCGTGTATGCCCTGCCGGTGGGATGGGAGGGTCTGCAGCTGGAGAGAGCAAGGGATAGCACTCGGACAAACGGTTCCTCGTGCACAATGCTCGGACACGGAGCTTCTTCTGTCTTCCTCCTATAACCATGCAAATTGGGGGTTTCTGGCTGGCAGACATCTTTCCTCTGCACGGTGACCCAAGGACGCGTCCCTTCCACCTGTAGTTCTATAAGCTCCCCAGGCCTCCTGCTAGCTGCTTCTAGCTGATAAGACGGGAGCTGGGAGAGGGCACAGCCATCCCGTAATAGCCTTAATGGACACAGCAGGAGCCACTCCTGCTCACATCCCATTGGTTGGAACCGCCTCACTTGGCCATACTCCCTTGCAGGGGATCCTAGGAAACGTGGCCTGGCAGGCTGCCTAAGAGGATGGGGAGACGAGTGATTGATGAACGGCTAGCAGCCACGGCTGGCAATGCCTTTGACTTTGAACAGGGGTTTGTGCCAGGCAAAGACCGTGTTTCAAAGGTCAGGAACATTTCTGAGAACTTTCCCAAGAATCGGGTCGTTTGTCCTGGGGACTGCTACACAGACAGTACACCTTACCGCCAACAAAACTAAAACTTTGGAAAGAAACGGGGGCTCGCGATGGAGTCAGCTGTGCGGTGTGTCTGTCCCTGATTTCTTTCGTGTCTGTGTTAGCCAACTTTCTATCACTGTGACAAAATGCCTGAGGTGGCGGGGACTTAAAAGGAGGCAAGCTTTGTTCTGGCTCACAGTTTCTGAGGTGTCGCTCAGTCCATTGTTGGCCTTCCTTGTTGCCTGTGGGCCCGTGGTGAGCAGAGCATCACAGTAGGCATAACCCCATGGCAGAGAGCACACACTGAGCAAAGCCTCTCACCTAACAGAGACAAGGAAGCGTGGGGTGGGAGAGTCCCAGTGTCCTCTTCAAGGATGTGCCCCGCGACTGGTTCTCTTCCACTGCCTCCCACCTCCTTAGCCAAGCCTCAGCCACTGCCTCCGCAGTACATTTTAAGATCCAAACCTGCATCGGTTACTTGTCTCCTTGCTGTGGGAAAACACCCTGACAAGGGTGATTTAAAGGGAAAGGGTTCATTTCGGCTCACAGTTCGAGGATCCATGTCCATCGCGTACCGTGGTGGAGAAGCCATGGCAGCCGGGGCTTGAGGCAGCCAGTCACATCGTGTCTACAGACAGGAAGCAGAGAGTGAGGAATTCTGGGACTCAGTGTATCCTTCGGCCTAGGATCTCAGCCCTGGGGTGCCTCCCACCATTAGGGCGGGCCTTCCGGATCTGAAAGCTCCCTCTCAGACATGCCCGGAGGTTTGTTGCCAAGTTGACAAAGCTAACTGTCACATACCATATACCAGGCTTATGTTGAACTTGGTCCCGGGGATGGAAATCAGGGCTTCAGACATACTAAGTGTTCTACCTCTGAGCTTTCCCTCGCCTCTGGTTTCCTTTCGTGGGTGAGAATTTTCCCTTTTAACAGTTGTTTAAGATGTTTAAACACTTCTGTGTGCTTTAGTACATCTGGCCCTCAGGGAAGCACTATTTTACAAGTTAGGAAACTGAGTTCTAGCCTCTCCTCTGAGGGGTCCAGGTTACTCTGATAGCTAGTGACCCGGCCAGGTATAAACAGCCCCTTGAAGCTCAGCAGGAAGCTGTTGTCTGTTGGGATGCTGGGTCCTCGGGCCTCATTTGTGGAGACAGAGCTCTTTCAGCATCTCTCTGTGCGACATGTCAGCTTCCACACCAAAGGGACGGTCGCCAGAGTGTCTTGGAGAAGACCTGCAGGACACACCCATGCCGTGACACCATAGAAATGCTTGTCCGCAGGGGAGGAGCTCAGTGGTACTGAGTGGACACACTGTGGGAGGCCCAGGTTCCTTTCCTGGTGAGGTTAAAGACCAAAGCCAATCGGACTAGCCAAATGCCTGCTAAGGGACTCACACAAGTACTATAGTTGAATTCCTAACTGTCCCTAAAGGTGCAAGTGGCTGACACTTGCTCCCCACCCCCTAGCCTCTTTCTCTCACCCTCAATTCATGACATGACTTGTTCTGTTTGGTCATGTGATTCCTCCATGACATACTGCCTCACAAAGTAACGTAGCCACTGCTCTCATGGGCTAGAGGATCTGAACCATGAGTCCAAGTAAACCTTTTCACTTCATAAGTTGATTCTCTCGGGTATTTGTTATAGTGTCAGAAAGCTGACTAACACAATCCACAGTGTGACGCATTCCAAACATCAAGGTCGAGCATCGGAAGCTGCATTCATGAGGTGGCAGCAGCAGCCTGATGATTCAGATCACAAGTGACTGTGTGGTAAATATTTAAAATACAGAAACAAATGAGTCACAGCATCGGTAGCTATCCTAACCAAAGCTCTTCAGGGCCTTGGCACCAATGGGGGCAGATATCTCTAAATCTTGAGGTCAGAAGGGCCCTAGAAAGTGCCTCCTCTTGTCCCTATTATCCAATGAAAATCCATCCCCCTGCCCCATGAGGTCCTATTTTGAAAAGTTTCCCTACAAGACAGTTGCACAGAGATGGAATGTAGTGGTCACCCCAGGGTCCTGCAGACATCCAAGGTCATCCGTGTTCTGTAGTCCTGTCTGAAGTCTCAGGTCTGTCTTGTTTTGTCCTTGCTTGCAGCTGTCACCAGTGACCACGAAGGAGGCTGTGACTGTTACATCCAAGGCAGCGTGGCTGTCAAGACCGGTTCTGTGGAGGCGGAGGCGCAGACGGCTCTGAAGAAGCGGCAGCTGCACACCACATGGGAGGAGGGCCTGGCCCTGCCCCTGGGTGAGGATGAGCTCCCCACAGCCACCCTGATGCTCACCCTGCGGACCTGTGACCGCTTCTCCCGCCACAGTGTGATTGGGGAACTCCGCCTGGGCCTGGATGGAGCATCTGTGCCCCTGGGGGCGGCGCAGTGGGGTGAGCTGAAGACCACAGCAAAGGTAGGGGTTTTCAGACCCCAGAGCAAGAGCGGGCTCGTCGAGGGTGGGAGCAGAATGCTAAGACGGTGAAACAAGGCTCAGAGACATTCTCAGCTCACAAAACGCTGCTTGGTCTCCTGATCAGGGGCTGCAGCAGATTTGTGGTCCAGAACTTGGTTGGGGTTCCTGGCACCCATTCCAAAGGGGTGCTTCTTACTGTCCAAAGACACCTCTGCCACCGGGAGCAGTATCATGATGAGGGTGGCAACAGCTTCCAAGCTATGGCAGAGCTGCCCTCACCTAAATCCAGTCATGGTTCTTATGCTCCTCTCAAGCTGTGCCCTGCAGAGGCGAGCTGAGGAAGGAAGCACCCGAGCCCCTCTGCTCTCAGAGCATGCAAACTTGGAGTAAACCGATACAGCATGGGGTCAAGGCAGGACAGGGATGGTGTGTAAGCCCCCAGTGTCCAGTCAAGAGCCTGCCACTGAAGAGCCTCCGGGGAACTTGTGATAGCGACCTGTCAATTAGCTGGTCTTCAGCACTAAGATGTGTCCAACCTTGTGACACTGGCACATGAAGTTGACATCTACAAAGATTACTATCAAGAGCCACACGATCAAGTTTTATTTAAAAAAAAAAAATCAGAAAATAATCTTAGACTGTTTTAAGTGAGTTTGTGGTTTTGCATCGGGTGGCATTCACAGCAGCCCGTGGGCCACAGGCTGGACCAGTCTGGACCAGCTTGCAAGGCCCACAGAGTTGCCAGCCTTTCCCATCACCCTTTCTGGATAAAGCAAGTTGCCCACCTGCCCTTTGAGACACCATTTCTGTGCTCCCCATCTCAGTGGCTCAGCTCAGGGAGTCATCTTCCTTCTAGTAGTTACTTCCCAACCCAGGCAGGGCAGGGCAACACTGTGACCACCCTGTCTGCACACAGGGGCAACTGAGGCTGACCTCATTAGGAATCCCCCAGCACCAGCACACCAGACGGGGCAGACAGCTCAGCCTCAATGGCATGTCCTTCTGACTTCTTCTGGATGCTTTTCTCAACTGCCATGCACCTGCCAGAGGAGGTGACAGGTGTGGGTCTTTCCTGTGCAAGCCTGGACTATAGTGGGAAGGGGCAGAGAGCACCCCACTCCTCATTTGCTTCCCTTTGGGTCATTTTTTCTGGGCCCTGTTTATCTGTTGTTTTTTCCTCCTCAGTTTGGAAAACTGATAGGAAAAACTACAGCCACCCTTTGAGACCTGCTGTCTCAAAGCCTACTTTCTAATTAGTATGTGATTTGGGATGCGTGTGGGGTCACAGACAGGGTCCCTGATGGGAAAGAAGACATGTGGGCTTATTAAACTGATAAGCTGGCTCTTTCTGGAGCTTGGGAGGTTCCCCTAGCAGGCATGAGTGTTTGGGTATGACCCCAGAAGGGCTGAAACACACCTCACTGAGACAGAAATCCTGGGAATCTTGCCTGCTTCTGTCCATCCCCCAGAAGACAACAATCACTCATTCACAAGCACATCACCTAACCCCTGCTGTGTCCCAGGCAGCATGCCACAGCTGCAGTGGAGTCCTGTCCTCAGGCTCATCCATCTTAATGTCATCAGTCTGGCTGCGGCTGTCGCCAACTCCACAGATACGAGGCACATCTCTTTCCCTCTGAGCAGTGTTGGGGGAGACATCAAGCTTCAGGCCAGCTCAGGAAGCCCCACCCAGATGGAGAGTGAAGGCTGATTTGAAGCTGGTGAAGGACTCTACAGTTATTGCAACCCAGCTGTTTCTTCTTTTCCGGGCTCGAATGGGTTAACAGAGGTGGCAGCAGTGCCCCAGTTCCAACCGGAAGACGTTTAGCCAAAAGTGGCATGTGCGTCACTAGGGACAACAGAGTACCCAACTCTGAGGGCAGCTTGGAGTGATTCATTGAGCATCTAGAGAGAAAAGGAGGTGGGGAGAGACAGAAGAAAGGAGACGCAAGGGGTTGCTTTTCGTCTGTGGTGCTCTGAGCATCTGAACCCAGGCAGGTGTTCCTGCAGTTGGATTGTGTGATGACATCCACAAGCCTGGTCCTGGTTTTCACACACACACACACACACACACACACACACACACACACACACACACACACACACATGAGAAGCCTTGCAAAGATGCAAGCCTGCTCTGTGAAGAGCAGAAGGCTCAGGCCTGGGCATCTGTCACCACAGCTTAGGCCAGCTGTGCAGCTCTGTCCCCAGACCTGAGTGCCTCTATTGTAAAATGCAAGCTCTAGGGGAGACTGTCCACCTAGGAAGCCAGAGCAGTGGCCTGGGACTTGGGCTCCCTTAGAGCAGACTCCATAGATTTGCTATGTCGTCACCACTGACCCAGGTGGTAACAAGCCCCACTTGGCTTTTCTGCAGAGAATGAGGATTTCAGTGCCCTTCTCAAGGTCATTGCCAAGATTAAGAGAGATGTCTGAAATTTTTCTGGCAAACATTTATTTGGTGTCCAGTGTGTGCCTGGTGCCAGGGATGTGCAGTGGTCCTGCCGTCTAGGGGGGCAGGCAGCACATTTGTGTGGGGCACAGTGCTCTTGTTGAATAGACCTGCGCTCATGTCATCCCAAGATTCCCCGAGACTCCCAGCCCAATTTGTCACGTGACTAGCCACCTATAGCCAATTAAACTTCTACTGGAATCTCAAGCCCATGGCCTGTCTCTGGGCACCTCAACAGACCAGGCTGGACCACCAGCTGCCTCAAGGATCCAATTAGCAAAGATGCAAAGGGGGCAGGGCAGGAAGCTTGTTTCCCCGCGCTACGTCAGGAGGGTAGCAAGTCTAGCTACCTCCTAGAACACGGTCTGCTTCCTGCCTGACAGTAGTTCCAAAATGATACAGGAACAGCAGCCGTGGGGACGAAGGTGTGGGCGCCATTATTGTGCTTCTTCTCCGCAGGGGCATTGTTCCTGCTTTGTGGGGTCCAGTTCCCAACATGAGGTAATGACCTGCAGGTTCCCCGATTCTTAGAACTAGAAACACCTCAAAAAAAGGAGAGAAGTTTAGAGGAACAAAACAGAGCCAATTAGGATGGAGAACTGGCTCCTCCCTCAAGAGCAAAGGACAATTCCAAAGGAGCCCCCCCTCCCCCCGGGAGGAATGAGCCACTGGGGCCATGGTGGAGACATTTGTCCTGGATGACAGACAGGCATGCTCTGAGCCAGAGGGTGTGCTCAGAACACACAGCAAGCTTCCACTAACTGCAGCTGGGCCCTGTGCCAGTGTGACTGAAGGAGGTAAAAGGCTCTGTGACCACTCACCAGTGACCCCAGTGTTTGGGTGGGGGAGGGGCTCCCCGAGTCCCCTCACTGTGCACCAAGAAAGGACAAAAGCTGGCTGCCAAGGCTGTGCCGCAGGGCAGGGCAGGGTTCCTTCAAAGGTCTTGGCGACATTTCAGACTCCTGCAGGAGGTTGACGGGGGACATTGTAACCCAGCATATGGGGTGGACAGAGACGGAAGTTCTGGGAGCCCCTGAGACTAGGATTCCTGCCTCCTTGGACTGCACCACTGCTCCTAGGTCCTTGCCCAGCCGTCCCTGCTGCTCCAGCCTTGTGCTGATGTCCTATGGGTGTATCCAGTCCTTGTAAGCATCCGGGCAGCCACTTCATTGGTAATGTCACCTCCAAAGCTGGAGCTACCTTTACAAACAAAGAAGCAGACTTGGGGCTGGGGAAATGACTCCGCGATTCAGAGCTCCTACCACGCCTAAAGAGAATCCAAGTTCCAGCACTCACATTGGGTAACCCCAGCTTCAAGGGAGCTGATGACCTGCACCCCCACATGCACATACCCACACAGAGACACACATATAAGCACATGCTTAAAAATAAGTGAAATCAAGAGGGGGCAGAAATAATTCTCTATTCTCCCACAAGCCTGATGGGTCCATACTGTGACTCAAAAACTGGGTTTCCTAGGACCCTAGAGTTCTACCAAAGCACCTCCAGAGTGTAGACAAAGGGTAGAGAAGGAGAGGGCGCCCCTGCTTTCTGCCCTCAATGTAGCCTGAGTGGAGGCTATTTTCTGTTTGTAAGTTGGATGTAAAGAGATGACATGTGCCAGGGTGTGGTGGCTCATGCTTAATCCCAGAACTCTAGAGGGAGAGGCAGGTGAATCTCTGTGAGTTTGACGCCAGCTTAGTGTACATAGTGAGTTCTGAGCCAGCCAGGGCTATATAGTGAGACTCTGCCTCAAAAAAAAAAAAAAAAAAAAAAAAAAAAAAAAAAAAAGAAAGAAAGAAAGAAAGAAAGAAAGAAAAGAGAAACAAACAACACAGAAAGATGACATATGGAAGACAAGACTCCTGATCACACACAGCCCCCTTCCTCTGGACCCTGCTGCCTTGTGCAGTGGTAGATAAACTTACCTTTAGGGAATGGACTGGAATATCTGTGGGGTACGAGGGCAGTGTGACTCTAGTCTCAGCTTCAGTTGATGGGTCAGAAGCCAAGTGTAATCCCTTACTCTCCTGTTTTCAGGAACCATCTGCAGGGACCGGGGAGGTCCTTCTGTCCATCAGCTACCTCCCGGCTGCCAATCGCCTCCTGGTGGTGCTGATTAAAGCCAAGAACCTCCACTCCAACCAATCCAAGGAGCTTCTGGGCAAGGGTAAGTGAGGCTGCAAGGAGACAGGCAGGGTGCCCCAGCTCTGGGATGCATGAAGAAGGCAGTGGCATAAAATGGAGGTGGGTGAACAGGGAGGTGCTAGGAATCCAGCTGTAGAGTCAGCCTCAACATCTGTGGCCCAGAATACACTAGTCAGTTCTGACAGACACACTCATGCCTTTAAGTTCCCTCACATCTCTGCTAGTGTTACCGCATGCTCCCACTCTCTTCTCTGTTCCAAGCCTTGGCCAAATACCACCCCCAACACACACATCTGCTGAGCATGGGTGACAGCCAAATGCACCCCGCCATACACACCTGCTGAGCATGGATGACAGCAGATAATGTGTGGCTATGAGGGTAAAGTCTGGAGCTTAAGGAACCTATAGCGTGGATGCCCACATAAGCCTCTTCATGAAAGCCTGTAGGTTTTGGGTTGCCTTCTGATACCTGGGCACAGGTCACTAGTCACAGAGACCGAGCAGGCTCTCCTAGCAAAGCAGGAAAGCAGCAGGGATGGGACAGGTCATAGCTACACACAAAGCAAGATAACAATACTACAGAAATCATCATTATCATTATATATAAAAAGTTACAACACAGATTTGCCCGTGCATTGCTAACAGGTCTTGGGCAAATGAAACCAGAAGGGCTGGTGTTGTAGTCCTGAGCCACAGGTCAGAGGTGGATGCCACGCTTCATCCCTTCCAGTCAATTCTGTCTTGCTTTTTTTTTTTTTTTAATAGCTCCCATCAGGACCATTACAGAAGAGCACTTTGTGTCTGAAATATCTCTGCAGAAATAACAAACTAACCACCCAGGGGCGATAACGATAGCAATAAATACAAAGTAACAATTACTCTCACATTAGCTTGGGCAACCTTGACTAATGAAAATAAAATGTCCTAAGCTATGGAAGCTTGCCTGCTGACTTGTGAATTTCCTGGGGACCTGGGAGCAGGGAGCCTGCCTTCACCCTCTCCACAGGAAATCCAGGTCCTCAAGGAAAACTTAGAAAAAAGACAAGTGACCAGAACTCGGCCAGCAGGAAGTGACTCATCATCTTAACAATGGACTGGAGAATGATGGGGGGGGGGGGCGGGGAGAACACTGTTTTCCTGGTCTGATTTGAAATCAAACTGGAGGACACATAAGGCCTTGTCTCTGACTTGGTTTGTCAAGTCACTTAGAAGGTCTTATGGTCAACGTGGTTCCCCAGAGGCCCTCTGACATGCCCAGATCTGAGCCACCCATTGACCTCATATGTTTTGTGACAGGCTAATCTATCTCTAATCTGAAAATCCAAAGTCCAATAAATGCCAACATCTGAACTCTCCTGACCACTAGTGGAAAATTCTGCGCAAAACAAAACAAAATAAAACTTTTATGTTGCATAAAATAGTCTTCAAGCTGTGTGTACGACGCATGTGTAGGCCTGGAATCCCAGCTACTGTGAAGGCAGGAAGACCTCAAATTCCAGGCCTGCGTGGGCTGCAGAGAAAGTTCAAGACCAGCTGGAGTGACATAGTGCAACCCTGTCTCAAAACCAAAAAGAAAAAGAAAGCTGGAGATTTTGCTCAATGGTAGAATGCTTTCTTAGTATGTCTAGGTTCAAGAAAAAAGAACCATGAAGTGGATTTTATGCTTCCCCAAGCATATCCCATCCCCAAGATATCTTGTAATATATATGCAAATATTCCCCAAGTCTGAAAAACACCCCAGATCTGTAAAGTTTATGGTCTCAAACCTTACAGATAAAGATACTCAACCTGGATGGTCAGTCTCTCACATTCTAGTGCAAGTTACAGACATGGCAACTTCGCCTCTCTTCCTAAATCTAGGCCAGTGCCTGCCATCTAGTAGATACTTCATACCTGTTGAGTGAATGCACCATGCAGGGGAGGTATAGGGGGAGGGAGACGTATTCCAGGTGCCATCGGACCCTAGCAGCTCACCCCCACCCTGTCTTTCTTTCCTCTGTACCCTTGCCCAGATGTCTCTGTCAAGGTGACCTTGAAGCACCAGGCTCAGAAGCTGAAGAAGAAACAGACGAAACGGGCCAAACACAAGATCAACCCCGTGTGGAACGAGATGATCATGTTTGAGCTACCAGATGACCTGCTGCGGGCATCCAGCGTGGAGCTGGAGGTGCTGGGCCAGGGGGAGGAGGGCCCGAGCTGTGAGCTGGGTCACTGCAGCCTAGGCCTGCATGCCTCGGGCTCTGAGCGCAGCCACTGGGAGGAGATGCTAAAAAACCCGCGCCGCCAAATCGCCATGTGGCACCAACTGCACCTGTAGTCGGCGGTCAGCCACCAACCTCGTCCTTCTCGGGCACGGTCATCCTCCAGGCTCAGCTGCCAGTCGCCCCCTCCTACCCCTGTCCACATGCCTACACCTGAAGACAGATGCAGATGTGTTGGCTGAAGCCAGGATCTCATTCCTCTCTCTCTCTATTCCCAATACTAAAAAGTGAGCAGTCACCAAGGCGGTGGGTGTGATTGGCGCGTCAGGATCACTCGGAAGACTGCCTCTTTCTCATCTGTGCTATGGGAAAGGATGCGTGTCAGGTACACTCTGTGGGCAGCAGTCCTTGCTCACTTTAGTCTAAAGCGGTAGTTCTCAAACTGTGGGTCCCAACCTCCTTGGCAAACCTCTATCTCCAAAAATCTTTACATTATGATTCACAACAGTAGCAAAATTAGTTATGAAGTAGCAATGAAAATGATTTTATGTTTGGAGGTCACCATAATGTGAGGAACGTTATTAAAGAGTCTCAGCCTTAGAAAGGTTGAGACCCACTCACTGGCTGGCCAGAAGGTCCTTGGGCCTTTGGGGCTCACGCCAGATTGATGCTCTGGGTGGAATACTCAGGGCATCTGTCTTTACCAAGCACAGGGGCTCTGGAGCAGAGCAGGAAGGGCTGCTTTCCATCCCTGTCCTCCAGGAGCTCCACACCAGGGCAGTGTGAAGAAGGGAACGCTCTGCTTGCTCTAATTCTCCCCTTTTCTGTGTTTGCTGTTCCTGTCCCACTCTTGAGCTGTGTTGTGTGTTTTGACTGTTTTATTTAAGAAATCAGGGTGGGCTTTGTTTGTTTGTTTTTATCATACCAAGGAACCCTTTCCCTGGCAAGCTCTGGTGGCATTCTCTGGGGTGACTGGGGCATTCGGAGGGCTAGCTGTCCTGCCCACTAATGCCACCACCCTCCCCCAACTGACTCTGTGGGACAGATACGTCCTTCTCAGTGTGACCGTACTTCAGAAGGAAGCAGCTCTGAGCTTGGCCTATTCCATCCGGCTATGTGAATGGGGAGATGGATAACAACTTCAAGAGGAAATACGGCCTCTCGAAATGCACTGCCCTCCAGCTTGGGAGACATGTCCCTTTAACTGGGAAATGAGAAGAGTCTAGGTTTGGAAATATCTGCCTCCATTGATATTTTCAACAGCTAACCCCACTGGGAATTAAGTGTAAGTGGCTGCAGGCGTGGATACCTGTGAGACAGGATTTGGATTGTCAGTTACTTCCTTGCTCGACGGCGCCTCGGTGTGGCCATCTGTAACACAGCACCGATGTCACGGGAGCCTGCTTGCCCAGCTTCAGAAGGCAAGCAAGGAGGCGTCTAAGCAGACATAAAAGTTGTCACTGCTTACCTGATGTCACTCCTAGCTCCTCAGGGCTGTGCTTTCTTTCCAAAACCTCCTCTGTGAACTACTCAGAGATGTCAGACTGGTGAATCAAAAGCCTTCGGTCACTTTTTACATTGGCTTAGCTTGTTTCCAGCCATGCTTGTAAGCCGCTTCTGAATTGGCTGAATCTGCGTGAACAGTTGGGATTAGTGGGAAGGAACCTAAGCCAGGGAACACTTTCTAGCAAGAGACCAAAGCTGAGGCGAAAATAAAGTGAGAGGCCATTTCAGGCTGGCCTGCTGCTGGACAGTTAGGAGTTCACCTTCAGTCCTCTGTGAGTCCCCTCCCAATGTCAACCAGGATAAATGTATCAGTTTGTTGAGTGTTTGCCAACCAAGACCTGGCATGTGTCTGTCCATTCTGATTTGAGATGATTCCAGGGGGCGATCATCTTAATGGAAACAGCAGATCATGGGATCATGAGGCAGTTCAGGTGAACTCAGATGTAAAGGGACCCCAGGGAAGGTGGCAGTCTCTGAACTGAAGTGAAGTGGGGATCTTTGGAGGAGAAAGGTAGTCCTGTGGAGTGTTTCTGCCCTTAGTGTTTCCTGTTGTCACATGCTGCGTGTTCATTATGCAGTCCCAAATCAAAGCACAAAAAGACGCATGAGACATTGTGGTCACATGTCTGGTCACACTTTGGAACACAAATCTTACAGTGGTAAATAAATCATTTCCAAATGGGTTGGCAGCCTAGTGTTTTTCTTTGTTCTGTTTCCTTCATGTTTTAGTTATATAAGATTCAGAATAAATTGTGCATTAAGTACCCATGAATCACTGCCAACTTCAATAAACCTTGACAACTACAGTTGAATCACCTCTAGTGCCCCATACTGAGAAGACCAGGATCTTGCATTCTGATTTGTTATCACAAGCATTCTTTATGGTTTTACTATATAATCATGTGAACCTTTGGCACTAGAGAGTATCTGTGTGTTTCTAAACTTTACTTAAATTCTTAAACTTCACCACATTGTTTTTGTTCAACATTAAAATTTTAAGCTTCATGCGGACTATGGTTCTAACTAATTTCTTTTTCATATAATATTCCACTACATGGATCTACCATATCCCATTTTATTGATGTTCTCTCTTCAGTCTCTCTCTCTCTCTCTCTCTCTCTCTCTCTCTCTCTCTCTCTCTCTCTTTCTCTCTCCCTCCCTCCCTCCCTCCCTCCCTTTCCCTCCCCCTCTCCCCCAGTCACTGTCTCTCTTCTCCTTCTCAGTAGTTATTTTATAATAACTGCCACTGTGGACATTCTTATGCATCTTTCCCACGTACATGTGTAGTCTCTTGAAGATGTGTCTAAAAGTGAGTGGAACTGCTAGGGCAAAGTGTGTGCAGGAGAATGGAAGGTTCTTAACCAAGATAAATGACTTCTGAAACAGTCATGTGGTATTTTCACATGTGACTCCTTACTTTATACTTTCCACAACCATTGTTACATCCTAATAGAACCTGGGAGGCACTTGTATTTCTGCAATAAAATGGGCTAAGTGGGCTTTATTCCACAGAGCCAAATATTATACACCATAATTGGCAGGTAGCTATGAAGACAGCCCACCTAAGCCCCAGACTAACATTTGGCTATGGCTGTATATGAAAGAGAAATGGTGGGGATCCTTGGTTACTGAATCAAGGGCTTTCCATTGAAGAGCCCTCAACAACAAACCATGCTCTGACAGGAAAAGGTCACCTTCAATCTGGAGCTCTGAGCCAGAGCTGAGACCCCGGAACCCTGTGGGACACTGTCTCTGGCCACCATTACTTCCCCAAATGAGTTAGTTGCCTCTGGGCCTCAGTGTCCATATCTATAAAATAAATTTGAACTAAATGACTGCCAGACCTCTGCCATCATGGGTCACATGCATGCTCCCAGGAAGGGCCTGTCCCAGTCGGTGCTGACCTACCACCGTAGTGTCCCCACGTGGCTGAAGCTGACGTCTCACGACGTGAAGGAACAAATTTACAAACTGGCCAAGAAAGGCCTGACTCCCTCCCAAATAGGTGTGATCCTGAGGGACCCGCATGGTGTGGTGCAGGTCCGTTTTGTGACTAGTAATAAAATCCTGAGAATCCTTCAGTCGAAAGGCCTTGCCCCTGACCTCCCTGAGGATCTGTACCATTTGATTAAGAAAGCGGTGGCTGTCCAAAAACATCTTGAGAGGAACAGACAGGATAAGGATGCTAAATTCCGCCTGATTCTGATAGAGAGCAGAATTCACCGGCTGGCTCGTTACTATAAGACGAAGCGGGTCCTCCCACCCAATTGGAAATATGAGTCAGCCACAGCCTCTGCTCTAGTGGCATAAATTCTTGTGTACACAGCAATAAAATCACTTTGAATAAAAAAAATTTGAACTAAATGACCCTAAGGCCCCTTCCAGCTTTAATCATGTTTAATTCTGTGGTTTAGCATGTGTCTTAATTAGGGCTAGTACTATGACAAAACAACCAAGGGTAAAAACAACTTAAAAAGAAGAGGACTTGTATTTGGCTTACATATCCAAAGTCACCGTCCATTTAGGGAAGCCTAGGCAGAAATTCAAACAGGATAGGAACCTGGAGGCAGGAGCTGATGCAGAGGCCATGGAGGGGTGTTGCTTACTGGCTTGGTCCTCATGGCTTGCTTAGCCTGCTTTCATATGGAACTCAGGGCCACCAGTCAGGGGTAGCATCACCCACAATGGCTAGGGCCCTCCCCCATCAATCACTAGTTGAGAAAATACCCTAAAGGCTTGCCTGTCTACAGACTTGATCTTATGGAGGCATTTCTCAGTTGAGGTTTCCTCTTCTCAGATGACTTTAGCTGTGTCAAGTTGTCATAAAACTAGCCAATACAGACTGGTAACAACTTTGTTTTCACATGTCTCATCTAGAAATAAAAGGAAACCCACACAGGTGGGTGCCTGCCCTCTGTGCTTCGTGGTGGATTAAAGCTTTGCCATCTGTTGACAGTCCCTCTGAAGGCTACTGATGCTCCTGTGAGCAATAGCATGGTACCCAAGGCTGGGGGGAGCTGGGTCTCAGCTATTTGATTGCTGCTTGGCACTGGTAGTTTTCTGCCCAAGAGTTCTTACTTTTTTAGAGCCAGTTGGATGCCACCATTTGGAAGATTCAAATTGGAGCACATGTCCATCTCCCTCCACAGCAGACATCTGCCAGGGCTAAAGTTGAGCGATAGAGGGGTTGAGCCCTACCTTAGTGCTGGAAAATGCCCCACCCCCACCCCCGCAAACTGCCCTTCTCTCTTGCAGGTGACTCAGTACAGATGGTCCCAAGTGGGACCTGCGCAGCTTTCCCCAGACCAAGGTGAAGGAGCCAAGCCATTCTTGATACTGGGAAATAGTTGTTGTCGTGGAAACCAGTCTAGTGGTAACCACTGTGATTAAAGCAGAGCTCCCGTGGCATCTGGTCTTCAGTTGGGCTTCAGCACTTGTCAAAGTGGCCTCCAATTTCCTGACACTCTTTCCAGAGGTTTTGAGACAGCCTGTTGGCAAATGTGGGTGGCAGAAGTCCTACTTCAGAAACTCCGATGCCATACAGAGGCAAGCGAGGAGAACCTGCTTTTCCAGCCCAAAGTAACAAATCAAATTTCTCTCCAGCCCCTCCCTTGAGGGGTCAGGTGAGATGAGCAGATGCAAGCTGAGGAAGGAGCCCCAGTGTTCTCTCTGAGGACGGAATGGTGCTTCCCACTCAGGCTAAGATGTAGGTCATCCATTTCTCAGGTGTTCCCAGCAATACTAGGAGAGGAGAACCCCAATACTTCCTGGAACCCACTTTATCCTGATAAAAAGGGGCACAACCACAATGAAAAAATGATTGTGCACAGCAGGTTGCAGATCTGTGCTGGGCAACTGAAGTAGACGGGGATTTGGGATTTGTCCAAGGTCGTACACTTCTAAGAGACTGGGGGATTTTAATGTGATACTGTATGATTTAGTATGATAGCCCTAAAGTCAAGACTCTTAAGATCCATCCAGCAGCCATGCAGCCCTACTTGAAGGTCATAGTCCCCAAGGGTTACCTGGAACTACAGAGTCCAAACATGGCTAATCCAGAAAGAACTGGGGATCTTTTTTCCCTAGGGGGTATTGGAGATGCCTGGTAATTTGGCTGGGAGCCTGTCCAAGGGCAAGAACAAGAGGCAGAGGCAAATTTGCCAACTGTGCACAGCCTCTCACTTTGCAGAAAAGGGTCTGGGTCAAGGCCAGACCCAGCCAGAGATCAAGTACAGCACCATTCTGATTGCACAAGGAAACCAGGACAGAGAGGACAATGAGGAGGAATCCAGGACTCTAGAGTGTCCAGGGCAGGTGCTGGGATTGGGCTCCGCTGGGGAGCTGCTCAGTCCTTCATCTCTACAGCATACACTGTCACCTGCCCCCTTGGTGACAGGCGTTACCCACTGCAGAATGAAACGCTTTTATTTTTCCCTCATGGGCATTATTAAGGAAAGGGTACACACACACACACACACACACACACACACACACACACACACACACACACAAAAAAGAAGAGAGAGAGAGAGAGAGAGAGAGAGAGAGAGAGAGAGAGAGAGAGAATTATATAAGTGGCCATGAAAGTCCCCTACTAAGAGGGTGACATTTTGCCACAACCTGCTGTCATGCTGGGAAGAGCTGTCCCAGACAGATTAAAAAAAATTGGCAAGGGTTGGAGGACCATGTGACCACTCAGTGAGGACCAGATGAGAAGAAGGCAGGCAGGGGCTGGAGCATATGGGGATGATTTCCCTTGGGAAACCCATGTGGCATGCTAAGAGAGCACACTGACTGGATCTGCTTTCAAAGACTACCCTAGATGCTGTCACAGGAAGCTCTGCTGGTCTTCATACCACTAGCCATGCTCCTGTCTTCTCTCTGGGGTGATTTCAACTTGTCCTTTGGACCTTGGAAAAGCGGGAAAGGGAACGGAAGGAGTTTACTACATCCTCCGAGAGTCACTCTGGGGGGACTGACTTCATAGGCAAGGGCAGGTGGCAGGTCTTTCCCTCCTTGCTTCCTGGTGACAAAATCATCATGTTCCAGAAACTTCTGCAATCCCAGGGCAAGCAGATCTGGAGGCGTTGTATAATAATGTCCTCTTAATTGAAACATTCTACCCTAGATAGAGAGGCTCCTTTAGACTTAGGAAGTAAACAATTTACATGTTTCATGACGTCCCTGAAACTGACTACATTCTCGAGACCCCTCCGTGCTCAAGAGAATATAAACAGTAGGAGTTGACCGGACGCTGCAAGTTGCACAGAAAGCTCCAGGGTTCCAGCCTTCATAAGCTGTCATCTGTGCTGGGGTGGGCTTTCAGTGATGCAACTTGCCTTCTAGTTATCCATGCTTTTGTAAGTAAGCCTTCACCCATAATCCTGTAAGGAACCCCAATAAAATTATTTCACCAAGGTGGACTGTTGTTGCTTTGGTCTGTCATTGGCTCCCTCTCTAGGATGAGAAAGTATTTATTTTGAGTCTCCTCCAAAATAGTATCATACAATACAACTGGTACCCAAACAGGGACTGATAAAACCAAAGATGAGCTGGGAGTGGGGGCGGCAGTGGTGGTGGTGGTGGTGATGGTGGTGGTGGTGGTGGTGGAGTCAGCATGGCCCCTGAAGTAGATGCCGAGACACAAAACTGAGGCTGATGGATGTGAAGATGGAACACCTGTTCTAGAAGTCCTCAATATGGCGACCCTTCCCCCATGAAGAATGGAATGTTGTACCTCCTTTATATAGTGGAGGCTGCAAGGTTCGTTAGACAGTTGACAGAGTACACAACAAGGATGAACTGTCTATGAATGGAGAATCTTTGGAAAGGATTCCCAGGGTGGTCATCTTCCTCTGCTTGGTATGGAATGACATGTCTCCTCAATGACTTATCTCCCCCCCCCCCCCGCTGAGTATGTACTGTAAAGTACACCAGAATTAAAGATTGTTCACCCAGACTGGGGTCCTTTAACAGCCAGGTGTAGCTGATGGAAAGGCAAGCTCCACAATGCTGGTCTGTAGTCTGTCAGAACCAAGGGTCCAGCTCCAGCCATGGGCTTGGGAGGCTAGAGTGAAGCCCTTGGATTTGAACTGAGCCAAGGAATACAAGCCAGCCCTATTGAGACCATTAGGGGCTGGAAGATGCACAGTGTCCCCATGACAACAGCATCATGCCAGGATGAGGAGGCAGATGGATGAAGGGAAATGTCTGCGGACCATGGAAGGCTAAATGGGGCAGTGTCTCCTGTCCATGTCACTGTACCCAGCGCTGCTCTTTTGACTAAAGAACTGATAAAAAGTCATGAGATCTTTTTATACTGTATTAGGCCTTACTAACTTTTATTTTTATCACCCCTTTAGCTGTCCAAGACCAACTAGGACTTCTTATCTAGGGTGGACGTCAGTGGGCTTTTGAGATCCTACCCACTCTCTAAAAAAGCTTCTGTTGCATAATGCCAACCTTTCAGCATTTTTGGATTTGCAAAAAAAAAAAAAACATGTAAAAGAGCAGTAGAGGCCATTGTTGACATTGTATGACACAGACATGTCATATAATGGGAATGGAATGAGCACTCAGGGGAGTCAAAGGGTTGTTGGACAAAAAGCTCAGAGGAGGGAGCTGCTGGCCAGGGAGGTCCCATAGGTCCCCAAAATAATGTCATTGCCACTGCTGTTAGCTGTATGCCAAAACTGGATAATATGGCCCTATGGGCGAAGACAATGCATGCTCTGATTGTAAGACATGGAGAAATAAGGCTGGGACGGAACTGAATATTCACTCCCTACTGGCTTGCTTTTATAATGTGGGAAGGTAGAGTGCAGCCTCCTAGGGGACAGTTGTTACCAACAGTCTTGCTTGGCTGCGCCAAGAGAGGCGGGACTGCAGGGGCTGCAGTAGCACAGGCTGTCAGGGGTTCAACAAGCAGCTTTCTGGTTGGATTTAAGGCCCACTCCATAGGAAGGAATTCATGTCTGATACCGCAACCTAGGACAAAAACCTGTGGCTGAGAAGGTCCCAGGACCCAGTAGGGAAGCAGCTACTGCTGTTTTTGGTTACATGGATGTGATGTGGCTTTGTTAAACTTTCCTCTAAATACTCATATGCTTATGATGAGCCACAGGCCAATGCTGTCAGCGGCAACTGGTCATAAAAGGATGTTTCCTTTGCAAGCGACGGTGAACTGGCAGAGCCTAGTGACCATCAGTGAAGGCCTGGAAACAAGAGGCCGTTGCAGTAGCAGAGAAGCCCAAGGCTTGGAAATCTGCATCAACCCTCCAAGGCTCAGAGAACACCATGGACAAGCAGTGGAAATAATAAAAGTGTGAGACCAAAATGAGCCATCTTAGAAATAAGACCAAAATGCTTTCACCCTAAAACTAAGGCCTAAGATTTCTCCTTTTAGGTACAGGCCATGAGTTACTGGAATAGGCCATGAGTTACTAACACCAGTCAGTTCAGATCCCAGAAACCAGGAAGTGTAAAAGTACAGAGTCACAAGGTAGTCACAGGGTAATGACTGCTGGACTATGGAATAGTCCTCTCCCTGGTTTCCAGGGTAACTGACCACAGAAATGTCCCCACCTGACGGTAGCCAATGAGAAATGGTGGCAGGCAACCACTCCCTTATAAGTAAGATTAAGCCATGATTTCTAGAAAATCCCTAAAAGTGAGCCAATCAGAATTGTACTTGTACTAGCACCCCTAAATGATGTAACCTTGTGGTCTTTGCCTTTAAAAACTGAGCTTGCAGAGAGGTGGACACTTCCTCCAGCCTCCACTGTGTTGGATGTATTGGACAGAGTCCCTGCCTAGGCTTGTATTGCTTTTGGATATTCCAAATGCAAATGCTTTTGCATTCCGACATGCTTGTCTTTGGTGGTCTCTCTGAGGGTTGTGATCTAAGCACAACAAAAGAACTAGAGAAAGGGGTAGAGTGCTGTGTAGCAATTTCCTCTGAACTGAAACATTGCATCCTGAATGGATGCTCGTTAGGACTTGAGAGGTTCTGAAGAGAGGCTTCTTAAGACTCTGGATAACACATAAGTCTCAGGAAATCCCTGAAACTTAATCAGACTTCCCAGGCCCCTTGCTCTCCAATGTTATATAAGGGGTGAGGGCAGAATCTCCTTTCTGTTAAGTTATTGCAAACTTCCAAGATATTGCTAGGGTTCCAGCTTTTATGAGTCATTACCTATGCTGGAACAATCTTTTGGTAATGTAGCTGCTTGTGAGTCATCCATGTGACTGTAAGTCCTCACCCACATTCCCCTAAGTAATGCCAATAAACTCACTGGCTCACCAAGTTGGACTTGGGTGGAATCCTTACTTTGTCTGTCACTGGACTGAGAAGACTTCTGTTCACATCTTCCTAGAAATAGTGCCACCACAACAGATGCTAGGTGACCAATGTGGAGGTGATGGTGCTTCTGGGTTGAAAGGAAAATGTCTAATGCTAAGAAGGCAGAAGTAAGGAGAAAGGAAGAGGGAAGACCACTGTGAGGATGTTGGATGGCCTCAAGAGCGGAGGCCTCAGCATCTCAAGGGGGAAAGCCTGCACTTAGAGCAATGTCATGATTGACTATATGCCTGCCTAACTCCTTCCTCAAAAGATGTGGGAAAAAATCTCACCCCCGCCAGTGCCAACAGCAAAATACTCAGAAAAGATCTTTCTAAGCAGGCAGGGGCCAGGCCTGCAAGTGGAGAGTCCCCAAAGGTATTTAAGCAGGAGAGCTGGAGCCTATTGGTCTGCAGAGGCTCTGGATGCTTCCCCAGAGAGATTCCTAGAGGGCCAGTGTCCATGGGGTAGGTGTTTTACATGGTTTCAGTCACACCTTCTTTGGACTGATTGATACATGCAGGGGCTTGCTGCACAAAGTGGATGGTAGTGGGGAAATGAAGAGCAGCAGAGAACAGCTCAAGAGGACTCAGGTCCCTTCCAACCCCACAGCTGAGCCTTTGATGGGGTCCACATGACTCACTGAGGCCCATCACAGAGGCAAGGAGCCAAGCTTGATGCATCAATTTAAATGCTTTTATTAATAATCTTCTTACATTACGAGGATAATGTGACAAAAGGAAAGACTCTGCATACAGATTATAAACCAGCATAGCTCTATTTGTATCCAGTGTTCTAGCCCCCAACACACAGGTACTATAAAGCACAGTCTGCCAAATAATAACATTGAGAGTTGTTTTTAAGAAAGAAAGTATTAACATATTAATATGTATGTAGTAATAGGCTCCTAGGAATTCCCCCCCACCCCCACTTTATTTTTTTCTTTGTGATTGACATGAAAATGGTTCAGCAGCTTGGGGGTGGAGAGGAGGAGAGAGACCAGGGCTAAAAAAGACTACTGGTTCTTCCAGAGAGGCCAAAGGATAGACGGAGGGATGCCTCTAGGACATCCTGGCCTTTGTCTTCTTATGAGCAGTATGGTGAGCGGTTGCCCCCTCTGCATGGAGGCTGGTCCCCTCGGTGCCCTGTGGAACGTTTTCTCTCTCTCTGAGGTACAGTGCATTGTGGGATTGCTACTGGGAATGCCTATCCCCTGGCCAGGCTCTGACCCACTGTGGTGGGAGAAAGGCTCGGGCCATTGGTCCTGAACTCCATTGAGCCAGGCACTAGAGGGTGTTCAGCCCAGTTGGCAGCTAGCTGTGGCTCAAGGAAGTGGGCATTGGCAGAGCAGACCTGGTCTCAACTGTGGTATGGGACTGGTCTGCTGGAGACTGAGGTCCGTTGGTAGGATGGTGAGGAAGAGCAGGGAAGACCCGCGAAGGCTCGGAATGGGAAATGAGTGTGTTTGTGGAGCCCAAAGGCAGGCTGGTCTGGAGAGCAGGGAGGGTACCTGTCCTCAGACCTCTTCTGCTTCCAGGAGAGGGAAGGGGATAGAGGACACTGGGAGCAGTAGGCTTCAGACTCCCATCTGGGCTGCACAAGCCCTCTGCCATGCTGCCAGCTGGCCAGACTCCCTGGAGCCCCAGGCACCCCCACCCTGCTGGGGAGGTGGGTATCTGGGAACAAGCTGAAGAAGATACCCTCCCCCAGAGAGAGTGGGCTTGAGCATCCAGTCACAGAATGAGAACAGTGTTTGTGAACTAAACCTAAACCTGCTGTCACAGCAGAAGTGGCTTGGGCTGCTTGGTTGGTTTGGGAAGAGGGGACAGATTGTCCTGAGTACAGCCAGCAGCTGCGGCTGCGCAGAGTGTGCTGGGCCAAGGCCCAGCTCCTGAACTTGAGTTGCCATTGAAAATGTCAGTGTGCAGATATATCTCTTCCACCAGGTGGGGCCTCTGGATGGGGAGAGGCAGCACTTCCTAAAGCTCACGCTGCCTTCCTCAACTCCTGGTGCTCTAGAGACAGTGGTTGAACGGGTGGAGGAGGCCAGGACGGCTAACTTCAGAGGCTTGGCCTCTAGGGGGTGGACAGAAGCATTTGGGAGGTTGGGATGACATCTTTCTGGACATCTGTTCATCCCAGGTACTCCTTTTCTATTGCCATCAACGCCGCTCACTCCTGATAGGCGAGGGTATTGGGGAGTTTGTGCAGAGGTCTCTCCACTAGGCGTCAGGGACCAAGTCCAACCCCCTACTGCCAAGCAGCAATGACCAGCTAAGTGCAGGCCAGCGGTAGGGGGAGGTAGGGGCTGCTGCAGCTGGACCTCAGGGGTATCTCCTTCCAACCTCAGCCCGCGCTGGCTGGAAAGGAGAGAAAGTGCATGGAGAGAGCTGGGACCCGGCCACCCTCCTCTCCAACACCCCAAGGAAGATGCCCCGCAGTAGCCAGCAATCCAGCCTAGTGAGCATTCCCACCTCCCCTCCAGAGCTGTCTCCTCCCCGTTCCCAACCCAGCACCAGGCTTTCCCACCACCTTTCCAGCTCTATAGACTATTTTATATCTATTTAAAACATAGAAATGTATAAATATATAGGATATTATTTATAGATATATAGACGTGATTTACTCTTACTCTGCCGTGTATACGTACTGTATATGTCAGTATATACAATTGATATGCCTTAGCATCAGTATGATACACTGCACATACCCCTGCCTCCATGCACAGCCTCCCCAGGGGGACTGGATTGCATAGGTATTTCTAGGGTGATACTATTTGAAGGGATTGGGGAAGGGGAGAGCGTGCTAATGGAAGAGGAGGGCCATACTATTTTCCTCTCCAAAGGGCACTTTAACTCCCTCGGACTAACATGCAAAGATTACCTCAAAGACTCTTAAAAGTGCCCTGACTGACAGAGGACTGGAGAAGGGCGTTCCTCCGAGAAGGACCATGTACATCTGATGCACTTTTTCCCTCAAGGATTGGAGGAACGGTCAGATTAGAACCCAGGGCAGTGTACAAAGGAGTGATCCCACTTGAACTGCCTGCTGTGCCTGCCTCTCCTCACTCTGGAGGACCACGCTCCCTGCTGTAGTTGCTAGCCCAGTCTGACTGGGCTGCCTCTTAAAGGGCACCCAGGGCACACATCCCCTCCAGTGAACCTGGGGCCTATGCCCAAAGGGGGTGCATGGACCACACACACACAAAAAGCACAGATCTGACCTGTGACTTAGCACAGACCACACCCTGAAAACAGGTTAGGATGCCAAATTCTTGTTTCCCTGGAGGCAGAAGTGAAAAACAAAGGAGTGTTCTAGAAGACAGAAATCAGACTTCAACCCATGTGGCCTCTCCTGGTCCCCATCTAGCTCCAGGTAGGCAGAAACAGGATGCAGCCCACAAGCTCGGGCTGGGTAACATCTCAAGTCCATTTCCATCCCTCTACGGCCATGTCCACCTTCACACCTTCCTCCATTTCTCTTCCTCCAAACAAATGAAAAACACTTAGGAAGTGTTTTAAGTCACTCCAGGGTCTTTGCGCAAAATCAAAGGCCTGGTACAAACGAGCCAACGAGAAACCTCAGCAAACCAACTCAAGTTGGGAACACGGAGCCTGAGCAGGGGGCAGGAGCTCCAGGCACCTCACACTCAAGGGCTCCGGGAAGAACGTGGCTACAGAGGGTCCTGGAGCTCAGTGGGCTCTCATTCCCCCACTGAGGATGGGGCGAGGCGGACACACCTGGCATCGTGAGATGCCACAAGCCGACATTACAAAACTAAAGTGCTGCCACTTCTGACGCCTGGACTCGGCTGTCCCTGCAGGGATTCTCCCTGGGCAGGAGCTGCCCACGGGGCTGAGCAGGCCTCCTGTCTCACACATGCTAAGTGGTCATTGCTTCCCTTTGCTCAGGAGAACATTTCAACCATATGGTTCTGCATGGTACCCGGTTGGCACAACAGCCACCAACCCCAATCTTCAATACCATCTCACCTCCTATTCTCACCGTGAGCCAATGAAAGTCACTATTAGTCACCCCAGAGTGAATAAGTGCCAGCCCCACAGACATATTCATTCTATGCCCATGACTCTCACTTCTGCACCAGGGACTGGGTTACAGGGCCCTGTCCCATCAGAAACAACTGCATGTATGCTGCTAGGCCGACTCTCCACAGTCTGTTACACCAGCCGAGATAGGAGGAGAGCCGGGCAGACCAGAAGTGTGGGTCTCAACCCGAGCCCTTCTCCAAGGGGTGCATGAGAAATGCCTAGGCCTGAAATCACAGGGCCTCACAAACGAAATTCACTAGGCAGAAGCCCTGGCCCTCCCAGGGAGCATCCAAGCTGAGAAAAGACTGTGTGTGGGGTTCATCCACATCGTTCCTTAGTCACTCATCATCCTGAGGCAAAACCAGAGTCACCAGCTCCCAGAGTTTCAGAGGCACCTAGCCGAATGTAAGACAGCACGAGAGAGCACGAGAGCTCAGCTCCTCAGCGGCTCTGAGGCAGAGGCCATTGCAGCAGAGAACAGGGGTAGGGTGGGGGGAGACAGAGGACCAGAGAATCGGCAACTGTTAGCAGCCACGTGCTGTGGGAACAGTTCATTCATGGAAGCCTCAAGGCAGGTCCACTGCTCCTGGGCGCCTTAAAGAGGTTCAGGTAACACTGGCTTGGGATGTCAGAACCTGTCTCTGTGGCTGAGGCCTGGAGTTTGCTCAGCCACAACCTCTTGGGAGGGGACAGTCAGTCCTGGTTTCATGTCTGGCCAAGGGCCATCCTGGAGAGGACCCTTCCCAGGTGAAGGAAGCCCCCTGTGCGGGGGAGGAGACATGTAAGGCAACTGTTGGCAAGAGGAAAGGCCCAGGCCACCATTTATGCCCGCAGGCTGCCCACGAGAGACCCACCTGCCTTCCCAGCCATCTCTACTCTGAACCCACCTTGGTCCATTCGGCTTTCAATGAAAACTCCGCAGAGCAAAGTCTGTGTCTGTGAGGAGGTGAGGTCCCAGGGCAGGAGCCGGGCAAGTGGGAGACCTTGTGCTTCACAACGGCGGCCCATGTGGCTCCAGCTAGGCTTTGGCTAGGAGCGGGAGGAGCAGATGGAGGGAGACACCAGCTCAGAGCCGGCAAGTGGGATGAGGCTGGGGATTCCCCGGCCTCCGAAGGGGGCTTTGGGGTTTCCTTCCCTAGTTCCTGCTAACTCTCCCTGCTCAGAGGACGAGGAGTTGAGATGGGGACCAGAGTGAGGTGAGGGATGAAGGTCACCAGGCAGGGTATCTCAACTGGTTGAAGAAGGCGGCATAAGAGACCTGGCAGTGGGACAGTTGGAAAGACCCAGCTTTTTGTTTGTTTAGTTTTGTTTCTTGTTTTAACATGCTACATCACTCTTGAAAACAAAAACATTTCAAAAATAATATAATATATATATATATAATATATTTATATCATGAAAAGCTATTGGCTAGCAGCAATGATTCTAAAGTTATCTTAGCACCAAGACCATGGAGGCAAAAGGGAGGATCTGAGGGAGGACGGACAGACTGCAGAACCAGGAAAGGGTAGCAACATGTTCAGTGTTAATGACATTTCCATGAGGCCTCAGAGACGAGACGAACCCAGACGGAAGGAAGCCACCACAGAGTTGTAGGCCCAGCTAGGCAGGTTGAGGGCATGGGGGCCTTGCCTGTGGTTAGATCTCTAATACCCCCACTGAAGGAGAGATACAGTTCTCTGCAGAACTGACCATGGGCAGGTACTTCAGATATCCCTCCCTTCCCCATAGACAACCCAGATCCACATTCTGGGATCTGCATAGACTGCACAGATTGGATGTGGAGACAGGGAGGAAGTTTACGACAGCTCACGCACGTTTCTGAAAACTCTTTTCGAGGTATACTGGTAGATAAGTGAACATTGGTCAGACTCCTCTAGCTTAAGCCCCTGTCTGCCCCCAGGGTCGGGGGAGGCAAGCGGCCATTTCTAAAGCTTATACTGTAGCTGCAGAGTGTGTGTGTGTGTGTGTGTGTGTGTGTGTGTGTGTGTGTGTGTAGGTGTGCATACATGTTTGTACCTTGAGAATCCTGTCTCACTTCCTGTTTTCTCCTTTTCTTTAGGATAGCTCAACTCTATCCAAAATAGGAAGAGTTCACAGGCAAGAGAAACTCTGTCCGGCATTGTGTGACCTTTCTGCCGGGCTGCGGAGCAAGCATACCATCAGCCTGTTGCAAAAGGAACAGCCTCTCTATGGACGCTCATCTGACTTCTGTACAGCCCAGGACTTGACTTGCACTGACGGATTCTGCCCTTGGACGACAAAACAGCTGCTCCTTGATCACTAAAAGAAACCCAACCCCCACCACCACCACATTTCATAATTATAAAGACAAAATACAAGTAATTGGTGGAAGTTAAATATACACTTTTCACCTTACTTGTTTTTAGCCAATATTGCAGTCCTGTTGGGGTTTAGATTTCTCGGCTCACTGCTTCCCCAACAGCCCTACATCTGAATGGAAATATAATGTTTTATCCTCTGCTGGGGCACAAAACGTACTCCTCCCCTGCTCACCAGATTTCAAGCTCAAATGTGAAAAAGGAAAGTTGTCTTCAGTGTAACTGCTGATATCGTTAGCCTCCAGAGGCTGGAGAAGGGAACCGACAGCCGAGGGAAGGGAGGGCGCCATGGAGGAGTGTGGTGGGTTCACAGTTGAGGGGGACTGATACATTGGCTGTTGGGACAAGTGACGTGTCCATCTGGACAAATGAACAAGAAAGAGCTCCCAAGCTGGAGCCAAGTGACGGGAGGAAGGCCAGAGAGTCCGGTCCGGAAATCCGAAATTCACCCCATGGAAACCCGGACGCAATGTAACTGGACCGGAACAGAATGTCACTGAGGAGACCACAAGCCCCCACCCCGTAGTCCTAAAACCATACCAAAAAGGAGAAGGCGAGAGCGTCACCCCAAACCCCAGCCCCTCAACCGATACATGAAGACAGAAACAGAACAAAGCCACCTAAAAGTGACAAAGAGAATCGCCATTTAGCTTATGCCGCTTTGACCGTTTGGTGGGAACACGTGTGGCCCCCCAAACACGCTCCTGTGAGTGAAGATGAGTTGCCACGTAGGCTGCAGCTGCCGAGTGTGGAGGCAAGAGTCCATTGCCGACATTGCTCCTTTCTGAAAGCTGTCAGTAGCTTCCGGTGGACACATCACCTTGGTTTTTAAAAAATTTTCAGTGTGGGTTTATATATATATATATATATAATATAATATAATATATATTTATATAATATATCAAAGCTTATGAGTATAGATTAAAAAAATATTCACCGGCTTTGTGACCTCTGCAGTGCAGGCCCCCTACATGTCTGGGTAGAACTCAGAGCCGTGGTCCAGAGCCTGCAACATGGGCTTCTGCTCCAGAGCAGACATCCTACTGAGGACCTCGGCTGACAGTGTGTAGCTGTTGCCAGACTTCTCCTCAAACCAGCTGTCCAGAGCTCGCTTGGCATCAAAGTTGGCGATGGGTGGTCCATTCACAGCAATTGTCAACAGGTCACTGAGCTGCTCCAGGGTCAGGCGGGAGCGGTGGTTTTTGCGGACCCGCTGGAGGGCACTACGGCCTTTCTCGCAGCAGGCAGTGGAGGTGGGGAGGACTTTGAGGACCTGAATGATCTTGTTCAAGAGCGGAAACCTTTGCTTGTACTTGCAGATGTGACTGATGAGGTCTTTAAAGCCGTTTCTGGTGTAGTAATCAGCCTTGAGGTCTCTCCACTCCATCAGCAGGCTCCCCCGGGGGTCCACCCCTTCCCGGCACACGTCCCGGGAGAAGGTAGGAATGGCTTCCAGGTGGTCGAAGATCTGAACCATATCTTCCTTGCCGAAGCTCAGGAGCTCTTCGCTGTTCCTGGGCCAGGCGGCCAGGTCGAACACTTGGCAGGCCTTCACGAAGACCCGGCTTCGGGAATCGAACCTCTGCGCCAGAATGACCTGTGTCTTCTGGCAGATCTTCTCCCTGATGGACTGGAACTTAGCCTCGGCCACCCTGAGGTTCTTTACGGCGATCCCGTTGAAGCTCTCTCGGAAATTCTCCTCGAATTCCTGCAGGTACTCGCCCGGGGAGTCTGCAAGCCTGCTGATCTCCTGGATGGCCTCCTCGATCTTGTCGTCCACCTGGGACACCAGGAGATACTCTCCCTGGAAGATGTAGGCCAGGCGTGAGAGCACCGCGATCACATCCAGCAGGAAGTAGATGAGCTTGATGGACTGATAGTCCATGAGGAACTGCAGCAGGGCCAGGGCTATGGCTGAAGCGTCTGCCCGCTGTGTCTGGCTGCTGACATCCTTGAGGTGGGCCACCACTTCCAGGTAGTCCTTGATGAGGGCATTCAGGACATTCTGCTCACCAATGATCCACCTCACGGCACGGATGTCCCCCAGAAATTCGGTCTCTTCGCACAGGGTGGAGGCCGTGGAGCGCAGCTCACCCATGAGACGTGGCGAGTAGCGGTAGAAACTGAGTAGCTGCTTCAGGTTGTTCTCCAGCTCCTCCAGGCAGGGCAGCTCCTTGCCACTGATGGCATCCAGGATCTCAAGGTGGGGCCGGTGCACCATGAAGGGCAGGCACAGCAGCCAGGGCAGTGTCTTGCGGATGGTCATGAACATGCTGGCACGCAAGCTGGCGGTGATGTTGGCCCCATCCACTCCCAGGCCGACGGTCGGCTTCTCGTCCTGTAAGCGGATGCCCAGAGCAGCAAAGGCTCGGTCAAGCGCCTGGAGATAGCTTTCTGTGCTGGAGAAGCCCAGCTCCTGCAGAGATAGGAATTCCGTGGCGGGGGGGCCGTCACTGCTGGTGTACTGCACATAGACGGCCACTGTGTCCGCTAGAAGGTCATCGCTCTGCCCATCCAGGATGATGCTGAGGCAGGGTGATTGACGGATGCGCTCGACCAGGTCCTCCCTCAGTGCCCGGGCGATGTGATGGATGAGGATCTGGCAGTCCCCCTCGTTCATGTACTGGTCTACCACCTTGAGCTCACACTTTCTCAGCAGCTCTGCCAGCGGTCGGAAGTCCAGGTAGGGCCTGCCCTCCAGGGCCAGGTGGTAGGCGGTATTGAAGAGCAGGGTCATGTTGCGGCACATCTCCTCAGTCTTCTCCGGGTGCATGCGCAGCTTGTACAGCTGCAGACACTTCTTGTGCAGGTTGCTCTGGCTGTGCAGCTTGATGGTGTGGATCTTAAACTGCTTGGAGCCGATGATGAAGGCGGAAGTGCGCGAGGACTGCACCGTGTACTGGCGGCACACGTGGCACCACATCTCGTTGAGGGTGGGGGAGTAGCGAAGGAACCAGAATTTCTTCAGCCACTCCTGCTTGAAGCGCCGGATGCGGCGTCCGGTGGCGGAGGACATCTTGGAGGGTTCATCCGTGGCTGTCATCACATCGTTGGAGACAGACTCATCTGCAGAGTCCACTTCCTGGTCGTCATCCTCCATGACGGCGGGGCCAGAGACCATGCTCTCTGAGGCTGGAAGACAAGAGGGGAAGGAAACAGTCACATGTGCTGTTGACAACACAGACTTAACGAGGTACTGCTGGAGATCAGGTCCCCACGGGGGTGGAGCTCCAGCCTGAAGTAGATAAAAGGGTATTCCTGCTCTCCACACTGATGGTTCCTCCCCATGGATTGCCCGTGGTGGCCTTTGGACACCACCTAGGCTCCAGGCTGCCTGCACCCGAGCTCAGTCTTGACTTGTGGGTGCTTCTGGGGTGGAGTGTTCTAGAAGCGGCAGAATGTTTCATGCCACACACTCAGGTTATACTGGAGGACCTGGTATTGGATATGGTCAGGGTAAGGCTGAAGGCAGCCTGGATACCGAGGCAAATGTATTTTTATGTCTACCCCATCCCATTCTGAGGGTAGCTGAGAAAGAAACCTGAGGGAAACATCCCAGCTTAGCTGCAGATCTACACGGAATCAATCCCCAGTTCTGCCTTGGTATGACAACTTGAAGAGACCCAAGAAGCCAGTGAAACAGGACAAAGTTGCACAGCGGTTGGCCTCAGGTCCTCTGGTTCCTCGTCTTTCTAGAACTCCAGGTTGGGTACCAAGTACCACGTAGTCTGGGCAGAGTCCGGAAGAAGTGGACTAGTCTGTGCTCCTGGCCTGAGTTCCGGGAGCTGTGAGAGCTCCCAGCAGACACCCCCAGACACAGTTCAAGATTTGGGGAGTCAGAAGTCAGGCCAGGGGGAGAAAACAGTGGGACCCCACCCCCAGAGAAAACAGCAGGTCAAGAACACAGCACACAGCCCTCCTGCAATGGGACATCCTTTATTGACAAGGAGGATACAGGTTGGCACATGCAATGCCCCCCAGAACTTCAAGCCAGCCTGCCTCTGGCACCTGAGGGAGTGGGTGCCTCTGCGTTGCACTCACTGGGTCTCCTGGCAGGTGGCTGAGACAGAGAGCTCTGGGCCACCCTCCACACAGCGCGCCACATTCTCTTCCCGCTAACAGCAACCTCATCCTCAGCAACTTACCTGCAGGATCTGAGAACTCAGGGAGCTCCAGTACCTGCGGTGGCAGAATGGGGGGCTCAGGCAGCTTCCCAGACTTAAGCATATCTAGCTCTGCCTGCAGTTCCCGCACTTTCTTCTTCAGGCGAATGCAGTTAGGGCAAAAGGAGGTGGTGGGTAGCTCATGGGGGTCGGATGCCAGAGAGGCCTCAGCAGGGCTGTCAGCCTTGAATGCCGTAGGCTCCTCCTCTTCATCCTCCAATGGGCCGAGTTCTTTGGCCACCCTTTGGGGGACCTTCCAGTCCCCTTCCCCCTGGGTCCGGCGGATATTCTGTATGCCTTGTGTCATGGCAGCTGCACTCCGACCGTAGCCATCGTCCTGGTACTTGGGGACTTTCCGGATGACCAGAGAGGTGCTCAGGGCCAGTTGGCGGGCTTCCACGTTAGCGGACTCCAGTGAGGCTTCTAGTACGTCCTTGAAAATGAGGTCTATTTTCTTCTTCTTGGCCTGAGGGGGCGTGTCCCCCTCATCAAAGCTCCGCTTGTAGGGACTTCTGCCCTGTCTCAACACAGGACCCCTTAGGTCTTCTGGATTATCCAGGGCTTGCTCAGCCTTCTCTCTCTGCAACCTCTTCTCGCCTAGGAAGGAAAACCAGGGTGTGAGGATGTGGGGAAAAGCCCCAAATGGAGAAACCAACAGGAAACAGAACCGGCCTTCTGCTAGGGACTCGCCTTACACATCCTCCTGGTTCTGACCATCTGGGTCGGGTAAGACCCAAATGGAGAGAAGAGCAGATCATGGGAGCCAGAGTCCCAGGACAAGGCCTTCACAAAAAGGCGATTTTGAAGAGCCCTCATGTGGATAAATGCTGCCCCTTGAGTTGGGATGGGTCTGAAGGGGAGAATAAAAACAAGTTACCATCCTATGGGGACGGATAGATGGGGTTGCCATACTATGACCCTAGGAGACAGCATCCCTCCCCATCTGACTAAAGCAACAAACTTCAGAGCTGAGTAAATGTCCATCCACCAGGGGACAAAGTGCCCTCTAGAAGCTGCAGGATGGTGCTGTGCCTCAGTAAAAGGCCTGGGGACAGCATAGGCCCCGCCTTATTCCATGCTCATGGTTCTGGAGAACTGGGAGAAACAGCCATCCCACAGCTGCTGTCTTTCTATCCCCCCTGAAGTCAGGAAGGACACAAAGAAAGATGGTTCAAAGTTCTGTGGTTCTCAGTCATGGCTGCAGTTGGAAATGCAAGAGAGATTCCTAAAGATGTCAAATGTCAGCCTCCCTCAAGATAAGGAGAAGGCGGCCACGAGACCCAGAGCATTCTCAGATACAGATGTCTCTTCTTCTATCATTTTTAATTACCTTGCAAGGTTGGTGAGCTCACCAATAATAAGCTATTTTAGGTTCTTTAACCCGGCCAGCAGACTAGCACAGGCTGCTACAGAGTGCTGGTATGCCCAGGGGGAAGCATGCTGAGAAAGCAGTCTTTCAGCTTTCAGAAAGTTTTGGCAGTAGCCTGTGGGGTTGGGCAATCTCAAAGGCTTCCTGAATCAGGGTCAGGGTCAAGGTCCTGGCTCTGTAACCTTGAGCAGAGGCTTGCTCTGAATGTACAGTGTCCAGGCTTCTGGTGGAAGGATTTATTTCATAGCCCCTCAGTGAAGGTCAGGAGGCTCTATGTTTGGTTTTCCTCAGATGCTTTCCTCGAGTCTTCAGGCTCCCACAGATAACAGCACGGCAAGGCTAAGCCACTCAGGTCTCTATTCTGTCCTCACAGGAGCTGCTTAAGTAACAACCTCATCCCAGGCTCCCGGCACTCAGTCAGCTTCCAGGAGCCCCAGTTTCCACACCAGCAGAACCACAGAAAGCTTAGTGATGATGAGATGAAGCCCCATTAAAAATGCAATGTGTGGGCTGGAGAGATGGCTCAGAGGTTGAAGGCACTGGCAGCTCTTCCAAAGGACCAGAGTTCAATTCCCAGCACCCACATGGCAGTCCACAACACACTGAGACTCTAATTCCAGGGTACCCAGAAGACACCCTCTTCTGGCCTCAGAGGGCACCAGGCACACATGTGACACACAGACAGGCATGGATACAAAACACCCATACACATAAAATACATAAATAAAATGAAATTTTAAAATGTTAATGTAATGCGTCTCTGTCACAGAGCAGGTGACATATTCACCAGGCTGAACCTCTGAAACTCAAGGGTGCTCTTTCAGCTTTCACGGACTCATCAGACATCAGACAGCTGAGGATGCAGGGAGGTCAGCGTGACAATCAAGCAGACTCCCATTGTCTCAGTGTTCAAAGATAAAGCAGTCCATGTTTCCTAGGACGAGCAGGAACCCCTTCTAGACTCATGGCTTCCATGTAAAATCTCTGATCCAGAGATGACCTTTAATAAATGAATTCTATTCCAAATCTTCCATGACATTCAGGGATAAAACCAGAGCCAAAAAAAAAAAAAAAAAATCCCCACATAAATCACATAGATCACCTAAACGTGTAGACGCCTATCCTTCAAAGATAACCACAAATGAATAATTTACATTCTCTCCAGAAGCTCTAGGCTCCTAGTAACACCTCCATTAACAACAGATGATCTGGTTAAGCAGCCTCCAATTATGAAGATGCCCTTCTCTCTAAAAGCCAGGTACGGTGGTGCCTCAGTGATCCCAGTGCTTGGGGGGTGGAGGCAGGAGCCTCTGGAGTTCAAAGCCAGCCTTAGCTGCAAATCAAATTCAAGGCCAGCCTGGGATACACAAAGATGTTGGGGACTGGAGGGGGGATATTTCAGCTGGTAAAGTGTTTGTTTTTCAAGTATGAGGACCTGAGTTCAATCCCCAGAATTCATGTTAAAAAAAAAAATAGCCAGGTACCCCATGGTCATCAGAGAGGCTTCACCCAGCAGCTGATGGACACAGATGCTGGGAAACACAGCCAAACATTAGGTGAAGCTCATGGAATCCTGGGGAAGAGGGGGAGGAAGGACTGTAGGAGCCAGAGAGGTCAAGGACACCATAAGAAAACCCACAGAATCAACTAGCCTGGCCTCACAGAGACTGAACTGACCAGCAGGGAGCCTGCATGGGACTGACCTAGGCCCTCTGTACATGGTTCTGTAGCTTGGTGTTCTTGTGGGACTCCTAAGAGAGGGAGCAGGGGCTGTCTCTGACTCTGTTAGCTACTTTTGGGACCCTTTCCTCCTACCAGGTTATCCAGCCTTAATAGGAGAGGAGGTACCTAGTCTCACTGCAACTTGATATACCATGGCTGGTTGATATCCACAGGAGGCCTGCCCTTTTCTGAAGAGAAAGGAGGAGGAGGAGTAGATGTGGGGGAGGAGAGGGATTGGGAGGGGAGAAGAGAGGTGAAACTGCTGTTGGGATGTAAAAACAAAAAAAAAAGAAAGAAAGAAAAAAGAAAAAAAAAGGCAGGTGTGGTGGCAGGCACTTATAATTCCAGCACTGGGAAGGCAGAGACAAAGGGCTCCCTAGGGCTCCCTGGCCAGCCAGCCTCGCCAATTTGGCAGGGTCCAGGTCAGTGAGAGTTGTCTCAAATGACTGCCCAGGAATGATGACACTTGAGGTTGACATCTGGTCTGCAAACACACACACACACACACACACACACACACACACACACACACACACACACACACACACACACACCTCTGTAATACCTTTAGTGAATGGGCAAAGGGGACTTTCCAGAGCAGGGCTGACAGGCCATTGAAGACACACTTAAAGGACCCAGACTCTGTACCTAAAATCTAGCACTCATCAGTCAGCCGCCAAGCTCCCGGTCACTCTCAAGGACCACTTTCATCACAGCTCTGGCTGGTCCCGTGGTGTCAGTGTCCTCCTGCGCCAGTTCAGCCTGGTCATGACAGATGCCTCCCTCCTGTGTCCTCCAAGGCTTGCTCTCTCCCAAGTCTGGGTGCCAGGCCTCTGGTGAGCCCCCAGCCCCCCAAACTCACACCTTTCTCTAAACCGTCCCTGGGTCTCAGGATTTTCTGAGGATGATGCAGGTGCCTTGGAGAAGGCACCAGAAGAAATGTTCCAGAAGAATCCAAGTTTTGCAGTCTGCTGCCGCTGAGACTTCTCTCGGTTTTCTTTTGTCTTTGGGGAGTGTGATTCTTCTGGAAACCCCCTGGCCGTTTTCATTCACTTCTGCTTTCATCCCGCAACCAAGGTTCGCTGAACACTTTTGGAGTTGCAGGAAGAGGTCAAGATGAGCCACCTCTCATCACAGAACCATGCCTTCCTGATGAAACCAGCATGGCCCAAGCTCAGCTCCAAAGGAGACAGGAGAGGAGTTTAGCCACAGGTCTCTCGCCTCTCCTGCAGTTGCCAGATGCTTTTGACTAAGTCAGATGGCTTCTGGGCACCCAAAGGCCTGTATGGTTTTGTCTTCCAAGTCAGGTTCATTTCAGTGAGGCACCTGCTTCTGTCTCTTCCAATCATCTTCCAAACAAGGCTGGCTCCAGCCAAGAGGTTAGTTAAAAATATGGCAGAGTATGGCTTGGGCCTGACTTTGGCTCTGTGGACCCAATGGACTCTGGGCATGTGGATGTACAGCTTCTGTACAAAGAAGGTCCTCTTGTAAAAAGGACCTGGGTGCACCAGTGTACTCTGGCCAGGCTGAGGATGGCATCAGAGGTAAAGAGCCAGAGGCAGGGAGTCCTCACACTCCTGTCAAACGGTTCATTTCAATGGAGCCTGGATGGACACCCAACCGACCAGGGCCTCCCTGCCTGAGGCCATCTTCTCATGTCCTCCAGACTTCCTCTGGTAGAAATCATTCCTTCATGCTCTATATCACTTGGATTGACAGAAACACGTCCAGCAATACCATCCTGAGGCTGGCTTTGTCTGGTGGCCACTGTTGGTTAGAACTTAGACCTTCACCTTAGATGTCTCAAGTTGGAAACCTAGCTCTGGCCTCATTAGTCATGTGACCCTGGGTAAGCCACTGCATTTCTGTAATGCTCAATGTGGTCATCTGTATGATGATGGGGCTGATGCCACAGGAATCACCAGCCTAGAATTTTACAACCAAGCACTTAATAACGGTGTCAAGGTAGAGATTGCATTAATGGTAGTAAGTACATTGCTCCATGGATTCTCAGAGCATCTTGGTGGGTTAGTTCCCATTACCTTGATCACGTGGCAATGTGTAGGAAACCCAACTAGCACACAGGAAGTATCTATTGAGGTACTGAGTGGAAAGTGTCTTTTCACCAGTTGGGGGAACAGGGCCAGTGTTCGTTCAATGATTTACTTGGCTGGGATTTGTTGATCTTCGCAGGATTGCCTCCTAGGGAAGACAATTCCCTGGGGTAGCTGCTGACTTACTGTGCTGAGGCCTAGTCTGCCTGCTGGATATTGCATTCCTCAGTGGTTTGCTTGGAAGATTCCCTGAGGGGCTTTCTGGGCTTTGGTGGCTCAGAGTGGGTGCAACCCTCCCTGGTGGGCATGGCCTCAGCCCTGTGGTCTTGGGCCTGTGGGCTTGACCTTAGCTTTGTGGGTGTGTCCTTTCACAAGTACTGACCTAGCCCTGTGGACTTAGGTTTGTGTGTGTGGTCCTCAGGGACCGCTCCTTCCCTTGCCCATACTCACCCCGGGTCAGGTTGCGGTGGATGGTTTCCTGGGACATACTATGCAGGCGCTTCATGTAGTCCTCGCTGTACCAGACCCGCAGCCACTCTCCAGGCCGGATGTCTCGGCATGCCCGAAAGTAGATGTGCTCGCTGTGCTGGAATGCCAGGAGGTTCTGCTCCCTCTCCTCCCGGGAAATGACCACGTACCTGGTGGGGAGGGGACAGGTGAGAACCATAGGCCACACCTGGTTGAGTGCCTCCAGTGCAGGGCACAAGTGGTCAAGGGTATGTGGGCATGTAGGCAAAGCTGCTGTCCCACCTAGAGACAGCTAACTAGAGCTGGTTCTCCTACTTACATCCATATTCTGCATTATGTCCAGCAAGTTCTCTGGACCTTAAGAATCTGTTTATCTGAGACTGGAAATGGTACCTGTCCTGCCAACCTCCTGGGTCGCAGTCAACACCAGACTCAACAGCAGGTGGCCACCACCTTCTCTCTTCATCGAATTTTTTTAAAAAAATGTATTTTGTTTTAATGTTTTGTGTGTAGGGGTGTTTTGTCTTCATGTATGTCTGTGTACCATGTGTGTATATTGCTCCCATAGGCCAGAAGAGGGCATTAGATCTCCCGGAACTGGGTTACAGAGGCTTGTGAGCCACCATGTGGGTGCTGGGAATCAAGCCTGGGGTCAATGAAAGAGCAGCCAATGCTCTTAAGCACTGAACTATCGCTCCAGCTCCATTTTCATTGACTTTTAAGCCTCAGGCCTCTGATGGCAGCTGGGGCAGGGCAAGGCTTTGGGCTGTTTTTGTATTCCATTAGGCTTATCAGAAATAACCCATGCTCTAAGAGTGACTAATTACAGCCCAGTCAGGGTTAAAGAGCAGCATCTTTAGAGTTGGTCCAATGAGGGCAACAGGAGATTGGCAACATCTGCTTAATCTAAATAGTTGAAGCTAAGGACAGAAAGACTCAGAGAGGCTAAACAACTTGCCCAAAGACCCAGCTAATTAACGGATGATGCAGCTTTGCAGCCTATACTTTCCCCCACTACAACTTGTGGCTTCCACGTGGGCATGGAGAGCACCAACTCAGCAATGCCCAAGACACCACTGAAGTTCCGTCCAATTCAGGACCCATGCCCCTCACCTAGCTTCCATCAAATGACACTTCCAACATCCTGGCATCCCCTTACCTATCTCCAAAACAGTGCTGCTGTGATGGAAAATGAGATGGGTCAGAGCCAAAGCTATATACACTGTGTTTCAACAATGCTTCTAGTCAGTAAGAGCAGCTTGAAGTAAGCACACCGATGTTTTAACCATGACCATCATTCTGGGTGGGTCACCTCTGGAATGGTATGTACCTTCCATGTTTGCTCAATAAAGTTTATGCTACTTATCGAAGTACTCACACAGATATCAGTTCCTTTGCAAGGTGACAATGGGAGCCAGCAGCTCCAAGAAGACTCCCTAGGGCAGTGCCTGCAGTCCTCATATCCACCCTGCTCTTATCTGGAAAGGTCCCTACAGAGTCATCTCGACCCAGCCTTGGAGGAGGCTGGCACCTTACCAACACATCCTCTGAAGCCCAGGAAATTATCCATTCTGGTGACAGAACCTATCATAGGCTGGAGGGGTGAAGACCAATGAGAGAGCAAACACCGAGCTCCTGGACAATGTCAACAGTGCTTACAGCCCTGGGTCAGACATCTTGTCCGGGACCTTAGCCTCAGTACACCTGTGTTCACTTCAGTATCTTATATGAGCACTAGAGAGCTCCCCTGAGCTGTGAAAATCTCGTAGGGGATCTCTAAGTAGGTATAACATGTTAGCCAAGGCAAAAGACAGGCCTCCAAGACTGCAGCAATCACGCTCAGCCTCTTCTCTCCACTCAAAGGACCAGCCTCAACTCCACTCCCGAAACTTCTTCTGCATGTGCAAAATATCTCCAAGTTTCCAATCTAGCAAGAGTCTGAGATTGGTGCCCAAAAACAACCAGCTTAACAGTCAGCAGAGCACAGCACGGAGATGGCTCCTAGCTTTTCTGTTTCAGATACATCAGAGGCAGAAATCCCATTGATTTCTCTCCAGGACCACCGGGTTCACACAACACATTAAGAGTACCATCTCCCTTTCCCCTTTTGGTTTCTAGACAGCCATCAGATACTAAATGCTAGGGAAAAAAAAGGTAAACGAGGAACAAGTTCCTATGATGGTTTGTTGAATCAAAACAGCAGTGTCTGGAATGGGTTTAAACATTTCAAACTATCTGCATCCATTTCCCTGGTGTCCCCTCCCCCCGCAGTGTGGGTTCTACCCAACAAGAGCCAGCATTTAGAAAGATCACCCTCGGTCTTGGTACAGATCACAAAGTATTTTCAACATCAGATCAAAATGTGTTGAGCATCTTGCATTGGGTTGTTTTAAAACTTGGCTTTTGAAATGAGGTACATATGGCAACCGTGGGTGAATCACAGCCACCTAGTCCCCTGACAAGACATATTTATGCGACAGAACTTTCAGGAGAAAGTTAACTGCATGCAGCTAAGATCCAGCCCCCATCACCCCTAATTAGATCCCTACACTTTAAAGTGGTAATGCTCAATGGCTTGGCCCATGCTCAGAATCCTGTTGTCCTCATTTTTATGAAATTATTGTCCTGGTCACATGGCTGAGGACCCCAAGGTTTCTAGGAACCATCTCCTCCTTGTGGCCAAGCTCAGTTGGCTGCAAGAGGGTCTGAGTTCCCAGTCCCCCTTTGTTGAGACTTTGTTGGGAGAACAGAATGGGAAAGGCCTAGCCCAGGCTGTCCTGCAGAGACAGGGTTCCCTGCTGTCTGTTCAGACTTAGGCACCCTAGAAGTAACTGCAAGGTGACCGGCAGTGGTGGTGAGGGCAGGGCTCTGGACTGAATCTTTCCAGAAGATAACACATTGTTTTCAGTCCTGTCTCCTCACAGGCCTTGGGTACTCGACAGATAAGCACAGGAGACAATTCTCAGGCCTCACCCACTGGGTCTTATCAAGTATACCATATTTTCTGGCTGGTCAGGAAATGACTGTGGGTTCCGACTCAAGAACTAAAATGGCCTGTGAGGGCATCCACTTTGTTTAATAGGACCGACACAGACCAGGTTAGGCCAAGACGGCTTTCCAGCAGAAAGGAAGTTGCCAAGAAAGACGGAAATGGGAAGACTGGCTGAGAAGAGCCTGCCTGGGCTCTGTGATGTCACTGGATTAGGTCTCTGGTACCCACCATCTAGGTCACCCAGCCTCTGTAACCACTGTCCCTATATCCTATGGGCTTCCTTCAAGGCTTCCCTTTGGGAAGCTGGCACAGACTTCCCATGTATTTCCTCTTCCAATTGAATATCCTAGCCTCCTGGTCCCCACTGCCACCAAGACACCAAAGCAGAAATCATTTCCATCTCAAATTGACCATTGTCCCTTGAACTCTGACCTTGTTCCTAGTTTACAGCCTCTAATTTGGCTTCTTTTCCCCTAAGACCAGAAGTAGAGGCCAACCAGTCACACCGACCTTGTGATTCAGAGGAGTCTCTTGTATCTCCTGCAAATTGCTAACTTGATTTCCAAGGTTATGCATTTTGGCCAGTAACTTAGAGAATGGTCTAGATTCCAAAGCCAAATGTAGCTAAGAACTATCCAGAAAGGATATTACAGGGTACAGCTTGGGGATTCCTGTTTCAAGGAAGCTCTCCCCATAACTGGAGGTAAGCCAGGCTGATGACAAGTGAGAAGATTGCTCTGTGGTGGGCACACTCCTGGTGAATGCCCGAGGAAGCCATTCTTGTTCCCCTGAGAAGTCTTGGGTCTCGGTAGGCAGGGCCCTGCCCTTCACAGGCAGCTACCAAGATCAGTGGGCATGCAGCTACTACGAAGGCGTGTCTCATTCACGATGCCCCGCCCCCCTGGACAGCCAGGAGCCTCTCAAGTCTCCAGCCAGAAATTATTTCTCTCCCTGGAAACCCTAACACTTTGGGGGAGCATGAGGTTAAATTCACTGAGTACTATGCCACTTGTGATGTGCAGGACAATGAAGTACAGCTGACCAGCATCCATGGATGCTTAGCTGCCTTTGGCCTACAAGTCCTTGCCTTCCTCTGGAGGGCCAAGCATGGGTCTGGGCATGCCCACGGGGAGCCTATGGAATCCAGGGAATGCAAGGGTCACAGAGCCCTTTTCCCCACACACTTCCCCTTAAGCATCTAGTCCCTGCTCTGGGGGCTTGCAGGTTTCCTTGGGATGTGAAGAAAGAGAATACACACCAAAAAAAGATCCTGGAGCCTGGCTGTGTTCCAAGTGTGACATCCATTTCGCTTTATTGCCATCTTAACAAAAATATTTGAGAGGGCTCTCTTGGGTTCCAGCATGGGTAGGCAGGGCAATTCCAGGCACTGGGCTATTACTGGACAAGACAATGTTCAGTTTGAGGAGGCAGGAACCCCTCCAAAGAACCACAAATTGGGGCGATGGAGCCCAGGGTCCAGGGACACGGCAGGTGCCATCCGTCTACTCGCCTCATGTAGGACAAAGGATGGTGTGTGTTTGTCAAGAGCTCTAGCAACAGCCTCAGCAGGCACTGGGTCCAGGAGGCTTCCAGGCCCACTTAGTCTCTTAGGGGAAAGGGGTGGGTGGGTGCAAAAGGTCTGCTGGGATCAGCCTCAGGCCAAGGAGCGAGGACAAAGCTGCACCTAGATCAGAGCTAAGCTTTCAGCTTGGTCTCCCTGCCTAACTCTAAGAACCCAGCTCTCTGACCACGCCCCCTAAACAAACCACAGAGCTGGAAGTGTGTATGCTAAGTGAGTACAAGCCCAAGCAAGCAGAGGCAAGGCATGCTGGGAGGTGGACTGGACACAGCCTGACTGGGTTTGGGCCTTATTTAGGAGCCAGTGAGTGGACAGTCTGCCTGCTGGCTCCTGAGGCCTGGGTCCTGGGTCTCCCCACCACTGGCTGTCGAGACTGGGGGCCACGGCAGGCTGGCACACTCATCTATCTCCATGCTGGTTCTGTTCCCTCTTCCAAGTGCAGAAGCTGAGGCGGAGGCAGAACTTAGGTAAGGAGCATCTATTAGCACTCTAGAATTGGCCTCTTGAAGGAAGCTGGCCAGGCCCACAGTCCTGGTCCACCCCTACATGGCTGTGTCATTTTTGACCCCTGAGGTACATGACAATGATCGGAATGACCA